AAAAGAAAGAAAAATCCCATTATCTTTATCTGTCCTTCCCATCAGGTGCAGTGGAAAATGCAAACCGGGGAGACAGCTGCTGTGAACTCTTTATATTTCCCTCAGAAGATAGTGTATCTTTTTATTGCCTACAGGAATTACTTATTTGAAAAAATATATCCTTTCAGCTCAACTTGAGCCGCAAGACAGGGAGAGGGTGGTGGAGTCCTGAGGGCTATTGATAGAGCATTTGCATTAAACCTGAGGAACCTCTGGAGGTCACAGGCGGGAGCAGAGGGAAGAAGCAACTGCAGGTTGTGGAGGAGATCGTGAGCACAGGGAGCCGGTGCTCTCTCCACCTCCCTGCTGTGTGGCCCAGGCCCAGGCACCGGCCCTCTCTGAGCTAGAGAGTCTCCATCTGTGCAGGGGACAGAATGGCATCGATTGTTTCCTCTGGGGAGTGAAAGGAGGAGACGAAAGAATCCCTTAGCGCAGGTAGAAAAATGTCCCGCCTCTGCTATATGCTAAGAAATGAGGAACTTCTCCCAGTCATGTTGGTACCCCTGAGCCTGGCGCGGAGCTTGACATAAAGCAGGCTCGTGTGATATGCTTGTTGATGAGTTCAGTGATGCAAGCAGGAACCCACCCTGCCATGTACCTGTGGGTGGAAAGGAACATACACCTGGTGGGACGGTCGCATGTGTAGCAGAGCAGGCGCCACCCGGGCACAGTCCCAACGCCTGCCCTGCAACAGCTTTCCTTCCCCAGAGTCCGAGAGCCGGCCGTGAAGATGGGACCTGTGTCCTGCCCTTTGGTCCCTGTGATGGTTACTTCTACGTGTCAGCTTGGCTGGGCCACAGTGCCCAGATATTTGGTCCCACATTATTCTAGCTGTTTCTGTGAGGGTATCTTTATAGGGGTCTCACACTGAAATCAATGTGGGTTTTGAGTAAAGCAGATCACACTCCATAATGGGGGGGCATCCAATCAGCTGAAGGCCTGCATAGAACAAAAGCCGGACCTCCCCTGAGACAGTGGGCATTCTGCCAGCAAATGGCCTTGAACTTGAACTGCAACATCAGCTCCCCCTGGGACTCCAGCCTCTTGGCCCACCCTGCAGATTGTGGACTTACCAGGCTCCATAATCATGTATGTGGTCAGTTCCTCTTTCTTTCTGTGTATGTGTGTGTGTGCACGTGCACGCATGCACGTCCTGTTAGTTCTCTGGAAGACCCTTGCTAACACAGTTTCCATCTTCCTTCTTTAATGCCTGGGCAAGTCTGGAGAGGGCTGGAGGGAGAGCAGTGGGCGAGCTCCAAAGAGCGACAAGGAGCAACGCATAGAGGCATTAGCAGAGAGCAGTTGGGCCAGGGCAGGGGCCCAGAGCCCAGCAAGGGGTGGGGGGGACTGGGCTGGATTTACCTGGGACAGTGACAGAGGTGGCTCAACATATCTTTACTTCCTTCTGAGCTGGCCTGGGACTGGTGGTCCTACCTTGCCAGGGGCTGGGTGTTGGGGGAGGGCAGACCATTGTCTTTGCCCCATGCCCTCAACCCTGGAAGGAAGGTCAGGGGAGGGGAGACAGCAGGGGTGGGGACTTGGCTGGCTGCCTCTGCCCAGCACGTGGCCGAGTGGGTTCTCTCTGTGCCTGTGCTGTGCGCCCCTTTGGCATAGATTAATTTTTGATAAGAATCACACCTTTCATCTGTAAATTGCTCTCAGGCTTTCCAAGCACTTTCACCTACACCATAGGAACAACTTCCCTTGCCTCCCTTCCCTTCCCTTCCCCCCTGGGGACAGTGAGTGAAACAGTGTGGAAAAAGCATTTGGGTCTCCGACAAGGCCCATTTTCCTTGTTATGCCATCTGACTTTGGTAGGAAGAAGCCCAGCTTTGGGGAAGCTCCAAATCCTGGCTTTAGTAGGGAAAAAAGGAAATTTCTCAGAGGAGTACCCATCACAGCGGGGCAGGGAGACCTTTCTGAGCAGCTCAGCATGAGGTTGGTCCCCAGTGGGAGGGGGCCTGAGGCTCAGCCCTGCTGAGGTGTCTCTTCTTTTCCTTTCCCCTTTATCTGGCCCTGCTGTGGGGCCTTGTTTCCCCAGGGGCACCTGTGATAGCAGAAGTAGCTCCTCTGTTCTCTTGGGCACCTGAAGTGTGAGCAGCCAGGGAAGCAGGTGGCCTTTTTCTGGCTGGCACAGCCTCTAGCTGGGACAAGCCCCCTTGGGCAGCCCTGGTGGCTGAGCAGCTCTTGGGCTTTGTCACTCATGGTGGCTGGCAGAAAGCACTTGTGGCTGCTTTGGTGGCTGCTGCCTGCACTCCAGGTGGTTTGTGACTACAGCTGTAGGAGGCTTCATGTTGTCTCATTAAAGACTTGCTTTACTGGGTGGGTGCGGTGGCTCACATCTGTAACCCCAGTGCTTTGGGAGGCCCAGGCAGGAGGATTATTTGAAGCCAGGCATTTGAGGCCAGCCTGGGCAATATAGCGAGGTCCCATCTCTACAAGAAATAAAAAAATCTAGGTGGACATGGTGGCACATGCCTATAATCCCAGCGACTTGGGAGGCTGAGACGGGAGGATGCCTTCAGCTCAGGAATTCAAGGTTGCACTGAGCTACGATTGCACCAATGCGCTCCAGCCTGGCGTTGGGTGACAGAGTGAGATCCCATTTCTTAAAAAAAAAAAAAGAAAAAAAGCCTTGCTTTCATTGTCAGGCCTTTCAAGGGAGCAATTTCTAAAACTAACAAGCAGCCTCTTCCCCTCCCATGCTCTGGGCATGAAGTTTCCAGTGGGGAGAATGGGCTTGAGCAACAACTACAAGCCATGAAGTGGCCTCCCCCTTGGGAGACCCAGCAGGTGTAGGGGGCTGGCCCCTGATTTGGCTTCCAGAGGATTCCTCTCCTTGGTTTGGGGTTAAGTTTATGCTGAAGAACGTTGGCTCCCGCCCCTCCTGAGTCCCACCAAGTGTTTAAGCCATACAGGACCCTGCCGGAGTTTGCCACCTCACCTGTCCTCTTCTAGTAAGGAAGAGAAGTTGGTCCTGAGCAAGAGCTGAGGCATGATCTTCATGTGGAGGCCGTGGAGCCCCTGCTGCTCGCCCCCATGGGAAGTCACCATGCCCAAGCGCAGAGGAAGCACACGATGCTCCCTGCACTCACGCTCAGGAGCTCTTTCCCTGCTCTAGCTCCACCTTTGCAAACTCACCTTCCGGTGTGAACACACAGGTTCCTGTCACAGCTGGCCCCTTGGCTGCACTCTGTCAGGTTCTCCTCCCACCCGCTTTGCAAGTAAGGGTCCTGAGAAGCTGAGGGTGGCCCCTGTATGGGTCCCACAGATAAAACAAACAGAAGCCACACTGGGTACCACCTGGTTACCCTAGTAAACCCAGCTGTCCCTGGAAAACCCACTAGGGTGCACCCCACTCAATTGTTTGGAGGTGGGGAACACAGGGTCTTCCTTCCAGGGGCCATTTTCTCTCCACTGGTCCATAAGAGGCTCCTCCACCTCACGAGTCTGTGGGCTCGTCCTGGCAGCAGAAGCGAATGGAATGCACGCAGACATGGATGCCCACGCCAGCCCCAGGGACCACGCCCTGGGACAGACAGATGGACACCCCCGCCCCACATCTCGCATCGGCTTCCTCCGGGTCCCAGAAACAACATACTCAGAGATACCCCCAAAGTGCAGAAGAACACGTGCTCCCCCAGTCTCTCCCCCTCAGCATCCAAGCTCTAAGCACAGGGCAAACATATCCAGCCAAGAGACAAACAAGAAGAGATGGGGTTAAACGAAGAAGTGAGAATTTAGGGGAGTTGGCAGAACTTCCTGATCCTGAGTCTTCAGGCATCAGCGCTTGGGGAGCAGTGGGGTGAGGCAGGGGGAAAGACGAAAATTCCCTCTGGAGTTCAGAAAATAGCATAGATGCCCATCTGTCTTGGATGGCTTAGCCGAAGCCAGCTTAGAGTCCAGATGGATGGATTAGGGGCTTCTGGAAGGTCCTCCCACCCCTATGTCGCCAGGAATCCCCAGACACAAGCACATACACACATAAACGCCTTTCTCTCCGTGCCCAGCATCAACAAATAGGCACACTCAGTGCCCTTCCCTGTACTACCCGCATAACCAGTAATAGTGGCGGCCGGTACTTCCCGAGTGTGTACTATGGCCAGGCACTGCATTCAAGAGGCTTTTACGTGCCTCATCTCATTGAATTCTTACTGTAAGGCAGGTGCTATTATTGTCTCCATTTTATAGGCAAGGTAACTAAAGCACAGAAAGGCTAAGTAACTTGACCAAGGTCACACAGCTAGGACTTGGTGGCTCCAGGACTCTAATCCAGGTGTGTTTGACGCTGACCCACAATGCTGGAACTGCCTCTCTTCCGCCCTGGGCTCCCCACGAGGATTCCCCCAGGATGATGTGCTAGGAAACGCCCAGGTGGGCCACACTGGATCTAAGTCTAGCAGGCCTCAGCGGCGTGCTCGTGCTTGTATCGGCTGCGCAGTCTATTCATGGGGCTTTCAGATGAAATGTCCTCTCGCTCCCTAGCAGGCAGTCGTAGCTCATTTTTCTCTATTCTTTCCCTCCATTCTCTGTAGCTGACCCAGATCCCTCAAACCACAGGTGTTCAGCAAAAATCACAGGCACAGAACAGAGAGGAAGGGGACAGCCTGGGGGGAACGACAAAGGCGGTGGCAAGACCTTGGGCCCCAGGGACTCAGACGAGCAGACTTTGCCTTTAAATCTCCTCGGCTTTTCAAAGGACCTCAGGGGCCACTATCTGCCAGGCCAGATCCCGACAGACTGCCAGGTGACCTGTGGCCCCGCTCTGTGCTTTGCTCACCGACCAGCTCTGGCCAATTCCACACCGTCCACAAAGGCAAACCCATGGGCTCCGGTGGGGCCGGGCACACTTGACTCTCTCCAGCCAGCAATGCTCTCCCTCTGCTCCCTGCACCCAGGCCCCACCTTCCATCACTCAGGACCAGCCACAGGGACAGCCCCCTGGTGGGCAGCCTACTCACCCAGGTCCATATCTGCAGCCTTGGGCCGGTGGGAGCAGGGCACGTTCTTGAATATGGCATCCAGAATCTTCTCCTTGACCTGAGTGATGGTGTCACAGTTGAGGATCTTCACTGGGACCTCGGGGCTGTTGGCATTGTCTGGGCTGACACAGCTCAGGACCTGGGGGGAGGCGGGGAGAGGGGGCACATGGAACAGGACAGCAGGAAAAGCTCCCCTACTCCTAGAAGCATCTCGGGATCAGCTCACGAATGGCTCCTCCTCTCCAGGATGGGCTGGAGAGGGGTAGGGCGATGCAGCCCACTGTGTTCCCACCAAGCCCACTGCCCTTTCCTGTCCTGGCCAGCAGAGCGACCTCGCAGCTCCAATGTCCATGCAGGAGTATGAACTGTGCACTTCACTCCCTGCCGGAAAAAACTTCATTAGAATCCCAATTTTTCTAGGCGAACGACGTCCAAGCATATGGAGGCAGCAGAGTGGACACGAATGCAGGCAGGCACACACGCTGTCACATGTGCACACAGGAGGCACTGTCATGGCAGCACACCCAGCCCCCACCCACCTCCGAACCCCCGGCCCCTCTGTGGGTGCCAGTCTCTCTCTTGTCACTCCCTCCTATACACACGCTCACACTGAGAACTCACGGAAACCTGCCTCCTCTCCCCAAAGATTTCATACGCTTCGATTTTTTTTTTGAGGGTTTCAGGTTGATCACAGGTTGGATAATCTATAAGAAGCTTAATGTGTTCTTTAAAAAATAAAAAGGTGCCCTTTAAAAATTGCAGGTTCAGGCCAACCGAGATTCCTTCCTGGCTCTGAACTTGAACCCCTGTGTTAGGGGAAGAGGTCACTGTCTGGCTCGGGGCCTCTATTTCTCTTTATGGGACTGGTGGAAAAGTTAAAACTCTGCTTCACCAAACTATATTTTTTCCTATAAAAAGTTCTGGGCTTTGCCTTTAAAAAGTTCAAGGCTGTCTTCTCTTGCTGTTCCCGCAGCGGCACGGGTGGGTGCTGTGGGAGTGAGGAGGGCGCGAGAGCCGCCGGCAGAGGGCCTAGGTCCCCAAACACAGCTGCCCAGTGGCCTGCACCCCTGCGCTCCCGGACCCCCCTCAGCCCTCCTTTCCGTGTGTCTCCCTCCTTCTCGGAACTTTCACTCCTCCCACGCCGCCCCCCCTGGCCCCGTCTGGTTTGCAGAGCCAGACACCAGCCTCCCTCCCAGCCACCCCCCTCTGGCTCCATGTGGTGCCAATCAGAGCCTGGCCCCTGGGCGCCTGCCTTTCATTAGCAGCTAGACTGCTAGAGCTCAAATGGGAACATGCTTATTCCATTAAGAAGGAGAAGAAAAAAATCCCCTGGATCTATAAAACCAAACTCTCACCCTCAAAATGCCCTAAACTGCAAATGACGGTGCAAGGCCCCCTGGACCATGTGTTCCATATGTGCCTTCTCCCGGCCCTTCCCTGCACTCAGCCAAGCACAGCCTGTCCCTTGCCGCTCTGGCCACCCCTGCTGTCCTGTGCTCTGGGCTGTGTGCGACAGCTCAGTCTCCCTCAGAAAGCAACGCAGCTCGTGCTGGGCCTCCTCTTCTGAGGAACCAGGAGGCAGAGGCTGCCATTTGAGTGCAATCTCCTGGCATCTCCATTTGCCCCAGGGGTTCAGGGTGGCCTCATGAGGACACCTCCATGGCATGCTTCACGCCTTCTACAGAAGGTGCGGTGGCCCACAGAAGGACAGGGCTTCCTGGCCACTGGCCAAGCCACAGCTGCACCCAGAAGCCCCCTTCCCCCATGCCCCTCGGCAGTTTCTGACTGGCAAGGGGGGCCCTGGCCTTCCCCCCGAGCCTCTCTGTGGTTATCCCTCCTGCCTAGGACACCATCATTCTCAGCTGACCAGAGTGCTCTGACCCCTCCAGCCACTGCAAATCCAACCACTCCTTGTCCCTCTATGTGGCCAGCTCATTTGGGGTCTGTACCAGCCCATCTGCTGCTGCCCGGCTCCCTTTCTCCCCTTCCCTCCTCCCTCCCAGGTGGCTGCCGCCCTCCTGTGTGAGACTGTCCTCCCCCCAGGCCCAAAGGCGGCTGCTAAGTCCCCTGCAGCCGTTTCTTCTCCAGGCAAAGCAGCAGCAGGGCAGCTTCTGGCACTTTCCCCATGGCTGGCTCCTGCGTCCCAGGTGTCCCCACCTCGGTGGGTGCTCGGCCCTGACCCGCTGCAGCTTCCTCACCTAAGCCAGCTCAGTGCACTAACGGCACTTTGGCCTCTGGGACAAAGGATGCTGCAATTTGGGGACAGAGTGTTATCACAACCCATCGTGCTGGATTCAATACTGGGAAGCCGCTGGGGAAGCAGGAAAGAAAGGGATTGGGGGAGAGGTGGGCAGGAGACATGGAAACAGTGGTTTATCTCATGAAGAAATCCATCCAGGTGTCTATTTCAGGAAGAAGTTTCTTCCCCTTTTTCCATTTTACTCAGATCCTCTAACTCTCCTCCAGAGCCAAAGGTAAGTGCCAGGAAGCGGGGCCTCGTCACAGGGCTCCCCTGGACCCTCAGCTAATCCCAGCAAATCCGTTCAGACGTCTCCTGGGAATCCCAGGGCTCTTGGAAAATGAGAGTAAGGTAGGTGGATCACGGGTGCCCTCCTGGCCCAGCCCGCAGGGATGGCTTTGTTCGGGGGACAGGCTGCCCTCCAGCTGGCCACAGGGCCTGGGATGCGCCCCCCTGGAGGGACTGCCTGGTGTCACACGCCCTCCCACGCCCGGCCTGCTGCGGCTTCCTCTCCTGACCACTGCACTGCAGCTCCTGCTGTCCCCTGTCCACTCCCTTGCTGTCTGTCTCCCTGGCCCCCTGCACATCTGCCCTGACACCAGCTTTTATCTTATTTTCTTTCTTTCTCCTTCCACTTCCTCTCCCCTTTCTTGGAGCTAAAGGCCTGGTGGGAGATCACAACACTCTCTGAAAAAGCCTGAGGCTGAGCTCCCGGGTTTAGAGAGAGCAGCAGCCTGAGTGGCAGGAAGAGGCGGGCAGGGCCTGGCCAGGAGCACCAGCGCGTGCTTACGCAGACCCGCTCCTGTGCGCCCCGTCCCCTTCCATCCTCCAGATGCCGTCACTCTGGACAACTGTCATGATCCCAGTTTTAATAGGTTCTGTTACTATCTCTGTTTTTTTTTTTTTTTTTTCAGGTCAAGAAACCCAAACTCAGAGATTAGGAGCCTGACCCAATTCACCCAGCTGGTCAGAGGCAGAGCCGGCTCTTAGCTCCATGCTCTTAAATGGCAAGCTATGCTGCCGCTTCCAACAGGACCTTGACGGAGGGTATCCCCAAGTTCTTTGGGTGACCGCCTGGCCTCGCATTACACAGCCTGGGTCACAGTCATATTTGAACTTAAACTACAGGGCACACGTGGGCTTCAGAACCACGAGGCGCTCATTCCAGTTTCCTCTCCGCCCCACCCCCACCCGGGCGCGTGGAGCTGTTCTGTAAAGTGTTGAGTCTCCAGGCTGGGGAACAGGTGAGGCGTTCACCTGGGTCAGCTGGCCGACGGCTGGCAAGGGCTACAACCCCACAACCGCTGTCTTCTGTTGCTCAGATGTGTTGCTCAGATGTGTCTGAGCCACTGGTCCCCAAACCAGATGCCCTGGTGCAGGGGCACAGAGGAAGTCTGGGGTGACAGGCACGGGGGAGCGCCTGGCTGGGCCCAGGCAGCAGACACACCTACAAAGCAGGCTCTTCAGCATTTCCACCGTGCCCCCTGCTGGGCAGGGCTGCCCAGGACCAAGCCCGCCTGCAAGAGCCACGGGGGCAGCAGCGAGGCTCCTTACCAGGGTTTTGTAGTCGATCTGCTGGCGGATGAGCTTGTCCTCACTCAGGGAGTAGCGGGCCTCGCCCGTGATGGCGTCGATGGGGCCCTTCTCCATCTGCTGCTTGATGGCACAGAACAGGGAGAAGAGGGGCTCCCCAGCGCACTCCTGGGCGAGAAGAACCAGGCTGGGCAGAGCTCCTGGACCGCTGGTGTGCGGAGCCTACTGCCCAGCCCTGCCACTCCAAAGGGCTGCTCCCGCCCTGCCGTCCTCCCTCCTGCTCCACCTGCTCTCTCTCAGCTCTCCAATACCCTCGTCTCCAACCTGCTGCCCTTCAGGTTTCATTCTCCTGGCTCTTTGGACCACAGGATCTTCCCCCATTCTGCCCTTTCCTACCACCCTGCCAGAGCTTTCTCTTCCCTCTCTCCATCTCCTGTCCCCTTCTGTCTCCCACCCCACCCTGCCCCACCCTGCCCCACCCTGCTCTCAGAGGCCCCATCTCAAGGCAGAGGTGGGTCCTCTGTGGCATGAACTCCTTAGCAACCAAGCTAAGGAGCCGGCTGCTCTTCCCCTCCCAGGCACTTGGTTGGCTTATCTGCGAGCAACAGGCGGCTCTTGAGACCCTTATCAGCCTCAGGGAGTCTGGGGCTGGGAGGGGAAGGGAGAAAGCAAGGAAATACTTGGCGAATTGTTTTTAGCCCCAAATGGGAATTTAGCTTTAGGGCTCACACAGCCACTCATCTATCCCTTGCTAGGAGGATACCAGCCTCAAGGGGACTTCGCCTCTGAAGCTGGGACTGACCGTGGGGCTCTGTGCCCTGAGACAGTCGATGGTGAGGGCAAATGCCACTTCTTGCAGGGTTCCAAGGGCCAGGTGAGGTGGTCTTGGTGAGGGAGAACTTAGAGTGCGTGTAGTGACCCCTAGCCAGGCTGGGGAGGAAGAAGTTGCATACCCAGGAGGGCGGGGTACCCGAGGCAGAGCCAGACACATGCCCACACCCAGTCCTACCTTGAGGAACTTGTAGAGGAGGAAAGTGAACCAATTGGTCAGCATCTTCTCAGCCACCGACTCGGTCCTGCCACCAGTCACCGCGGGAACCGGCAGGACAAGACAAAGAAAGAAGCAGCGGGTCAGCGCCGCGGGCCGGGAGGGGCAGGGAAGAAGTGCGCGTGGACCTTGCTGCTCGGGCTTTTAGGCCGAATCTTGGGATCCTAATGAATACAAGGGCTGCAGGGGCTCCCAGACACCCCTGGAATGATAAGACAAGCTTCTCCTACGAAGCCGGAGGATGACATTTTAGGCATCAGGCTCGTGGGCGGGATTTGTGGGAGTGCTTTAGAGCCCTGCTGTCCCACGGCACGTGCTGTGGTGATGAGAAAGTTCTCTGTGCTTCCAGTGTGGCGGGGACCAGCCACACGTGGCCGCTGAGCACCTGAGATGTGACTGAGTGTCTGAGGAACTGAAGTTTTTCATTTACTTATTTTTGATTAGTTTGGACTTAAATGGTCACAAGTGGCTTGTAGCTATCCTGTTGGGTAGTACAGCCTTAGTGAACGTTTACAGGCTAGATGTGTTCCTTTGGGTGAGAAAGGAAAGACAAAAAAAAAAAAAAAAAAGCCCCAGAGAGATACTAATTTGGCAGGGGCTAGGAAGAAAGGTGGCAGAAGAGAGTCACAGTCAAAGGGTCAGAAGGTCAGACCGAGCCCACAACCTATAGACCCCCAACACTGGCAGCAGCGTGGAGCAGTATCCCCAGCTCACGCCAAGAGATGCGAAAATCGTCCTATTGCAAAGGCTTCCACATACTTTGGAACTTGCCCTGGGGACCCTTCTAGTGTTTCATTGGCAATGACAGGAAAGTCCTTCTTCAGTCTAACTTGCACCTTTCGTGCTGCAACCCAAGCCCGCCTATTCTTTCACTTTGGAAGTGAAGATGCAGCAGCAGTGTCGGTGGCCCAAGGACACTTCTCATGCATCCATTTAGAGAAAATAAATTATATTCAAACTTGCACTAAGCATGCAGTTAGCTCCAGAGACAAACTACCCCATCCAGGTATGTTTGGATAGAGTTAAAGATTGCAGTTGCCAGAAACCACTAATAACTACAACCCCAAGGCAGTTGGGCAGCTGCCAGTGCAAAGTGAAGCTGGGAAGAGAGAAGGGGGAGGAATGTAGGAAGGAGGGAGCAGCCAGGGGAAGACGGGGAAAAGCAAAGGGGATGAGAGCATCTGGGAGGGCAGGGACAGACAGCGAGAGGAGGGGACACAGAGGCAGAGCTAGACCATGCCGGGAAGTTGTCGGTGGGAGCTCTGGCAGGCAGTGGCAACCCTAGAATTATGCTGGCAGGTGGCTGCATGGTGAAAATAAAACAAAAATCAAAACGATCTACCTTGCTGTTTCCAAAGCTGTCTGACGGCTCCTACATGCAGCAGCCTTTGCAGCTGTGCAGGCGAATGCCCACCGCACCAGGACGAAGCCTGGAGGAAACGTCTCTGAAAGCCAAAGCTATCCCTGGACCGAGTGGGAGCCACCGAGGCCCTGCCTGAGACCCAGAGACCAAGGGTGGAAGGCAGGGGGACAGGCAGACAGAGGCACACAGCACACTTGGCTGAACTTGGGAGTTTGCCAAGGTTAAAGACGTGGGGATAACAGCCTAGAGGAGAACTGGGCTTTGAGTGCAGGACAGCTCAAATGGGAGAACGGGTAGAGTGAGAGTCTCTATTTCCTGTAAGGCCAGAGCCACAGGCTACGGTTATGTGTTCACACGTGACGTTTTACGTTTCAACAGTGTTGAGCTGGAGGCTTCCAGCAGTGTCGAGCTGGCTGCACCAGGTAAGTCGCTCCTAAAGGGCTTTCACTCGGTGCTTCTCAAGCTTTAATGTGGTTCTGGCTGGGACCTGAGATGCCGCATTTCTGCCAGGCTCCCCGGGCGGCACGAGGCCAGGGGTCTCTCTCCTAATCCTGGTTCTGATCTAGTTTCTGCCAGGGGGTGGTCTGAATGACCCCCAAAGGCTCCCTGAGAGAAGAACTGCAGTAGAAAGGGAGTGAAAGGGCAGAGAGGGAAATGTGCAGAGCAGATATGGGGCAGAGAAGAGTAGGATGAGCCAATAGGATGTGGCAGTGGCACCATCACCTCCTGGGGACAACGGACACGGCTCTTCTGAGAGGGCGTGTGCTGCAGCCTGGACCTTAGGGACCACGGCTGCTCTCCTGGAGGCTCAGCCCTGGTCTCCCTGGAAGGCTGATGAGCCGGGCACAGCTGGGCCGGGGCAAGGAGTGCCCTGATGCCCCGGCCGCGCCCTCACCTCCTGAGCAGCAGCTTGGGGTGGTTCTTGCTCTCCAGGTTCTTGTCGATGAGGTCGGCCAGCAGCTGCTTCAGCACGTCAGTGGCGTACTCGAGCTTGCTCTGCAGCACCGTCATGATGAGCGAGGCCACGTTGCCACGGTCGCGCATGGAGAAGCTGCGCTGGGACTCGAGAGTGCGGATGAAGGACAGCAGGAACACCTTGTTGTTGATGAGCTGGGCGAAGAGCTTCAGGCCTTTCTCCACTCGCTCCTGTCGGTAGCCCGGGACCTGTGGGGAGACCCGGGGGGTCCTGACGCCATCTGCTGGGGACCCCAGTGACTGCCCGAGGGGTGAGCCTGTACCCTGGACCCTCCCATGCCACCTAGCACCTGCTCCTCAAGCCAGAGCCCACCTGACCAGTGTTACTGAGTCCTCAGCACGAGCACTAAGCATCTACTGAAACTCATCACAGCCCAGGGGGTAGGGCATGGCCTCCAGCTTAGAGATGAGCCTGCCAAGGCATAGTGAGAACTTCACCCAGTCAGTAGACAATGACACGGTGATTGGGCCACCTTCTGCCACGCCCCGGGGGTTGAGCTCTTCCCTGATGGTGATGCAGAGTTGATGAGGGGCCCTTTGCCACGGCAAAACACCTGCACAGCCCCGTGGGGAGCTCCCAGCTGTCAGGGCTGCTGTGGTTTCCTCCCTGGCTAAGGGATCACCAGGCCTGAGCCTCCAACTAACTGAATGCCCCACCCCCTCCCCAGTCCCCCTGCATCTTTTTGGCAGACTAGTGGCCTCAGAGTCAGGACTTCTGGCTTCCAAGTGGATTCTGATACCACTGTAACATGGGGTAAGTCACTTTACTTCTCTGGGGGCCAAGTTTATCCACCTAAAATGGGGGAAGATGAAGCCCAACAGTCTCTAAAGAACTCCCCAACTCTAGCGCTGATGTTTTTTTTTCGTAGGGACTCTCACTGAGACCCTGCTGTATCCAGTGGAAGGGAAGGAAGACAGTTTTATCTCCCTGCCTGCATCGTCTGTTCCCTGGGAGAGCCCTGCAAGGGGGTGCCCGCCACCCAGCAAACATGAGTCGACAACAGAGCTGGGCACACGGACGAGTCTCTGAGATCTGCAAGGACGTACGTAGCAGCACTGTTGGTCACAGCCTCACACCGTCACTGCCCAGATGTCCAGCAACAATGGAGGGGATCGAGGAGCTGTGGCATATTCCACGAGAATATGGAACACTACACAGCAATGACAGTGAGTGACCCATTGCTACTTGTAATAACAGGGATGGATCTTGCAAACACAGGGAACGAAAAGAGTCAGACACTAAGGATGGCATACTCTTTATATAACTCCATTTCAATAAAGATTCTAAAAACAGGTAAAATCAATGGTGGTAGGAACATAGCTAGTCTGGGGGTTGGCTGTGACCGAAGGGGCACAAGGGACTCCTAGAAGGCTGGTGCTGTCCTGCTTCCTGGTCTGGACACTGGCTTGATGGGTGTGTTTACCTGGGGAAAATTCACTGACTGTGCACTGGCCATTTGCACATCTTTCTGCACGAACACTTCAATAAAAACACAAAGTCCACTTAAAGAGTCAACTATAGGCTCTGTCCCCAAGGGGGAGCCCCCTGCAAACACAGCAGGGAGTATCTCCTGGGGTGGGTGCGGGGAGGCAGAGAAGGAGGGAGACAGCCGTGGAGGTGCCCTTGGAGCCACATGTCGAGGGCTGTGTCCCAGTGGGGTAGTCACTTCAGGGCTTTCAGAAGGAGTGTCATGTGTGTAGCAGTGGCAGATGAGGTTTCAGAGCCGGTTAAACTTGGTTTATTGCTGTCACAGTCACGTACCAGTGGCACGGCCTTGGTGGACTCGGGTTCCTTACCAGCAAAGCAAAGGTGCTAACAGCCAACATGTGTGTAGACCTTACTCCATGCAGAGGGCTGTTCTGTGTGTTCTAGGAATACCGACCCGTTTAGCGTGCCAGCACTGGGAAGGTAGGTCCCATGATTACTCCAGGGACCCCGTGAGCCTAAGGAGCTGTCCCAAAGTCCCAAGACAGAGAAGGGCCACGCCAGCCATGAACCCGGGCAGTCGGTGCCTTGTTCTACCATCCCCTGGGGCCATGTGGACTGAAAAAGAAAATGTATGAAAAGCCCAAGGCACGGCTGAGCTCCTGAACAGCCGCTATTTTATCCTGCTCCACTCTGGAGGTTTTAAACTGGGAAAGACGGAGGCGGCCCGAGAAAGCCTTGTTTGCCCAAAGTCACAGAAGGTGGCAGAACATTCCTGTCACTCATTACTGAACCCCCTGTGTTCCAAGCTTGCTTGGGGCGAGGTGCTGGCAGGGGGCAGGGATCCGGCAGTCCCAGGCCCTGCCCTCAGAAGGTCAACCAGGAGGCCAGCTCCCACGTCCCCTAGCCCCCTCCCTCCGTAGTGGGAACCCTGGGGCCGGCCCTTTGCTCTGCGGAGAGGAGCGCTCATTGCACTCCCGAGCTGCCTGCCATCGGCAGCTCCCACGGGGCTGGGAGCTGTAGGAAACACGCACATTGCCAGAGCCCATTTTGGTTTCTCTTGCTGTGCTGCTGAGACTTGGAGCTGGGACTCTCCACAGCTCTAGGAGAGCGACAGGAACTCACCAGAATGAAGCAGGCTCATCCAGCGCTCGGCATGGCCCCTCCTGGTGAAGCTCTCGCTCCCCGCAGGGGCCCACCCTCTGCTGGCCTCATGCCTGGCTCCCCCAGCCCCCCACTGCACCGGGGGCTGAAGAGGGAAGGGCAGCCTCCCCGTGCCATCATCTCAGGCCTCAATCTGTGCATCTGTCCGTCTCCCACCTCTGTGCCCACCCCCCTCGCATACATGCCACGCTCTGTCCTTCAAACCACTCACAACAGCGTCTCTATGACTTGTCCTAAAAATCATGGATAATGCCACTTCTTGGGCACCCACCGTGTGCAATGCACAGTGCCTGGCACATTATATACATTATTTCAAGTAAGTCTGGTAATGACCTTGCAAGAGTGGGCTGTGATCTCCTTGTAACAGTCTCTCAGAGAAGCTATTGGAGTTGTCCCAGGGCCATGCAGCTGGTGACGAGCAGTGCTGGATTTCAAGCCCTAAGTTCATTTGGCTCCTAAGGGCCCCTTTGTCCTCTCCGTCTCTCACCATGTCCAGCTGTACCCCTGGGCGGGGGAATAGTCTGAAAGCCGACTCTGACGGCTCCCTGCAGCCTTCCCTGCAGGGCCTCCTACCTGCCTGGGCTGGCTGTCAAAGGGAGAGAGCCACGTGCAGGTGTGGCACTATGGCATTTGGAGAGATGGAAGGGGACATGGACCAGCCAGATGCCACACTTGGTGTAAGGATGTCCTATGGACTTTTTGCTGCAGCTGCACTTTCTCTGTGCGCAAAATGCACATGCCTCCTGGGCAGCAAGTCCGGGGCCCTGTGAAGGAAGGTTCTAGCAAAGCTACCTGAATTGAAATAGCATCCTCTTCAGCAGCATGAGTTTTGGAACTAGAGAGACCACAGTGACTCGTGTGGAGGGAAACTCCAGCACCTCTGGGCTCTACCGCCTCATCTGTAGAGTGAGACTACGAGTGCCTGTGCCATAATGTTTTATGAACATTAAATAAGATAATATATGCAGAGTGCTCGGCATGCACCGTGCGCACTTAAACAGCCAGTTTATTACCTGCCTTCCCAGCGCCATGGACTGCTTTTCATACATCCCTTAGCCCAGGGTTTCCCAGATAGCTAATGCACCCGCATGGTGTTTTGGGGTGCAGATGGCAGGACTTTTCTCCCCATTTTATGATGGGAGGAGATGGAAGTGAAGTGTCTTGGTGAGGAGTACCAGAACAATTCCCCTCTGTAGCCTGCCACCCTCCCCCAAAGCAAATGCCACTCTGAAACAAGACTTTCTTTATGCACCAGACGGTCCTCTAATCGAGTTGAAGTCTGGAGCATAAAACTGGATAGTAAATTTTAATTGTAACCCAATAGGTTAGAGTTTAGGAGCCAATGATAGGTTGAAATTCGGAGTGGATGATTGACTGCTCTGTGGTTTTAAAGGATTGGTGCATGACTAGTGACTGGGAAGCCCCTTCCCTGAATGCCTGGACTTCACCCAGAGGGCCCCAGACGAGGGGGCCTGGTGGCCTGCCCTCCAGGACAGCCCGAAGCAAGAGGACACGTCCTTCTTCACACTCCCAAACAGTGTCCGGGAAACATTGCTTCAGATTCATCAACAGCTCGTTCCTGTACTCAGAGCCCCAGGCACCAAGATGGAGAAACGATTCTAGGACGAGAAAGGACTGGAAGCAAATGAATAAGAAAACAGAGATCCACAAGTGATCCCTGGATTTCACAGAGGAGCTGGATCTTGCATAGCCCCATGCTAATGCGGGGCGGTAAAAGTTCTTAGAAAATCTGATTTAAAAGTTAAATTCATAAAAGAAACTTACTTAGACTTGGAATTTTGAGCTGGTGAAGAAGGGAGAATAACTTTATATATTCAGCCTGGTTGGATTCTTATTTAGATTGTTCTCTACCCTGTTCACAGGTGACACGGGATGTTCAAACTTAATTTCCCCCCAGGATGGCCCTTTCCACCCTAATTAGGACAGACACACAGATACTCATTTGTTCAGTCATTCACCAGTTCCTGCACACCTGCTCTGTGCCAAGCTCTCCTTTCTGCCGGAAGTTAGAATTGCAAAGATAAATAAGGCATGGGCACAGTCTACACATCAGATCACACACACGCTCACACACGTCTTATCTTTTCATCACTCCCACGTCCCCCTTTTAACCAGGAACTTGCATACTCTCCAGCGCCCTAAGAACTCTGGTATTCGGAAGCAAACAAAAGGTGAGGCTGGAGAAGAGAGAAAAAGAAGAGAAAAGTGACTGGGAATAGGGGAGGGACAGAGTCAGGGAGCATGACAAGGAAATGGGTAGAGAAAAGTATCGTGATGCCCATAGCGCTCTATGCATGAGTACATGCATCCATACATGCACACACATACACATGCATGGAGGCAGACACAAAAGACGAATTATCAGTGAGGACACAGAGATCACCGTCTCCGGCCTCGGAAAGTGTCTCTTGGTGTCTATCAGCCGAGGGGAGCCTCCCCCAGACAGAAACGCCCCTGCCCTCATATAGACGCACACGCACAAACACGCTTCATTCAACAGGCAAGTTTGGGGAAATGTGTGTGTCGTGAATGTCGCTGAGGACTTTCTGGGTTTGCTGTAGAGGTGACAGTCTGCTGCATCCCCTTTGGAAAGCCCACGCAGACAGACCCTCAGGGGTCAGTACCTGAAAAACCATGCGCCTCCGGAGTGATGGGTGTATTTTTATTTTATGGAAAATATAAATCTTGGAATCAACCTTATTTCTGTGTTGCCTTGGCTATAGACTTTGGATCCATTCTGATAAGCACCCAGAGCCATAAGGCCATGCACATGGCACCCAGAAGTCAAGTGCACAGGTTGTCATTGGGAGTCTAACTCAAGTCTAACTGCCTGGGCTCAAACCCTCACTCTGCCCCCTACCAGCTCCGTGGCTCCAGGCAACCACTGAACTCAGTCATCCCCTTAGTCTTGTCCCCTGTAAAATGGGCTTACTACCCCACAGGGTTCTTGGGAGGTTAAGTGAATGCATGCATGCAAAGTGCTTAAACTGTGCCACGATATTAGCACTAGCAAACTAATAGTGATTACTCCTTATGAATATTATTTTGTCCTGGTTCCCTCATTTATATATTTTACTTTTCTCTGGTATTTATCTCTACAAGCCATTCCAAAGCCCTTTTAGAATAAAGTGTAATATAAATATATACATAAGCCAGATACTATGCTGGACAGGAAGTGGGATAAAATGTTTAGGAGATGAGGCCCCTGCTGCTAGAAGAGCAGGTAAGTTTTTATCATTCAAATTTCCACCTCCTTTGCAAATACAACATTTATCTTTTCCAACTAAGCACCAAGTGGTAAAATCTCTTATATGTCGAGCATCAACTGTGGAATAAAATCCCCTGTATCCCGGTTTCTTAAACAATGGTCCATGAACTTCCTCAATTAATCGGCATATTTTTTGTTTCTGCATATATGTAGTTTTCCTGGGGAGAAGTTCCTCAACGTCTATTTAAGTTTCAAAGGGCTCCATGACCCCCTACGACCTGAAGCCCTACTCGGATCTCTGTTCTGAGGGGGCTTGGCCCCATCTCTGCCAGAGGGACAGGCTGGTGCAAACAAGCCGAGGGACCCTGGGCAAGTTGTGTCCCCTGCCTGGCTTCAGCTCTCTCACCTCCAACTGAGGATGGACTTGAAGGTCGCCAACACGCTCCCTGCTCTAACGCCAGCATGGGGTACCGCTTCTCACCTCGAGGTCCCGGAGGACAGGGTGGTCTTCGATTCCCGGGAACAGCACCCGCATGGTGTAAGTCCTGTAGTCCAGGAAGGGAATCCCAGCTCCGTCCAGGTCACTGGTCAACTCGTGAATGTCTGTCTGCAGCTCAGCAAAAGCTGGCAGGGAGAGAAGCCTGTGAGACTGCTGGATGCGGTGACCCCAAGAGCCACCCCATCTCCGAATGTGCTGAACCCTCACTCAGGCCCCCTGGAGACATGCACAGTGGTCCACAGATGTGCGGGAATAACTGGGAGGGGGTGTTCAGTAGCTGGGATGAATGGCATTAGCGTGGGAGAAAGACACAGCACAAGGACATTTGTCTTGGGGCCAAATCCCTCCCAAAGTGTGGGGTGGAGGAGGCTGTCCACAGATCCATGCTATTGCTGGGGCCAGGAGGGACCTGCCCATCGAAAGAGGAAGGGCTTTGGTTTGTAAAATGTGCTGGGAGGGATGTGGAGGGCTGGGTGAGAGAAGGGAGAGGTTCCAGTGGTGAAGGAACTGTTTCTGATGCTGGGTTTTATAGGAGGTCTCCGTATAGGATTTCAGAACAATTTCTTCTGATAAAAGAAAAATGTTGGAAGGCCCAGTTCTGGACCACAAAGCTCAATGGAGCTCAAACAGAGGTTCCGAAATGCTAATGTATTCCTTCTGTATAAATACCCAGGAGATATCTTTGTCCTTCCTTCCTCAAAGTGATGCTACTTGATGGTGAATTATGATCAGCATGTGGGCACTGCTGTGGGTGGAGGCAGCTCAGGCCTCCAGATGGACAGAGTCACAAAGCCCCAGCTGGGAGAGTCCATGCTGTGCAGCCCGAGGTGCTACATAGCCCCAAGTGGTCATCACATTCCAATGTGGGCATGTCCTCTTCTAGGGCCACCCTCCACCACAGGTGGTCCTCAAAGGTGAGGCGCCCCACCTTCCTGCTCTGCCTTTCTCCTTGGTGCACACACACACACATGCACAACTGGGATGGCTTAACACATGTTGGCAAAGAAGAAAAGCTGTGGACACTACAATATTTCTATTTTTTAAATTTCAGAATATTACAGGGGTACAAACACTTTGGTCACATAAATTGCCTTCGCATCGCCCAAGTCAGAGCTACAAGCATGCCCATCCCCTAGGCAGCACGAACCACACCCATTAGGTGCGAATTTACCCATCCCCTGCTCCCCAGTATTTCTATTTATATGAACTCAAGAATAGGGGGAAATACTTTGTGAGTGAGCTGAGCTCAGATAGGATTCACAAGCCCAGCATGGGTCTAGAGCCCCTAGAAGCAAGCACAGTGGGCTGTGGTGATCACATAAACACCACACAGGCACCCCGGGAACTGCCGACAGGAGCCCTGTCCACCCCTCCCCCTGCATTTGGCGGAGCTCTAGCCTGCAGAGCAGACCTCAGGCCCACGGGTTTGGCTTTCTGTGCCAGGAGAATATCAAGGCTGCTCCTTTGCAAGCACAAAGGGGACACCACCCGGACACCTGGAAAGGCTGCTGGAGCTTCTCCTGTTGTTCCTCTTTCCCAGCACCCCTTCCCCTCTACTCTGGTCACACGGACACAGGGGTTCTTGCCGTGTAGAGTGGCCCTGATGGCAGATAACCCAAAGGCATCCAAGTGGAGCCTGCACTGATGTGTGTGCATGTGTGTGTAAAAGGCGTGTCAATGGGCCTTTCAGCATGTGCTGCCACCAAAGGCCCGGCCAACACTGGTGTATGTAGCAAGTGAGGAACACGTGTGTGCATGCTTATGGGAATGTGTGGGAATGTGTGCACGAGCATGAGTATGGCTGCACAAATGCTTCTGAGTGTGAGTCTGTCAGTGAGTGTGTGAGAGAGTGTGTTAGTGTGAGTGCACGAGTGTGTGTGTGAGTGTACGAGTGTGTATGTCAGTGTGTGTGGGTGTAGGGGTGTGTGCGAGTGTGTATGTCAGTGTGTGTGGGTGTATGGGTGTGTGTGAGTGTGTATGTCAGTGTGTGTGAATGTATGGGTGTGTGTGAGTGTGTATGTCAGTGTGTGTGGGTGTATGGGTGTGTGTGAGTGTGTATGTCAGTGTGTGTGGGTGTATGGGTGTGTGTGAGTGTGTATGTCAGTGTGTGTGGGTGTATGGGGGTGTGTGAGTGTGTCATTACGTGTGTGGGTGTATGGGGGTGTGTGAGTGTGTATGTCAGTGTGTGGTGTATGGGGTGAGTGTAGTTGTATGTCAGTGTTGGTAATGATGTGTGTGTGAGTGTGTATGTCAGTGTGTGGGTGTATGGGTGTGTGTGAGTGTGTATGTCAGTGTGTGGGGGTGTATGGGTGTGTGTGAGTGTGTATGTCAGTGTGTGGGTGTATGGTTGTGTGTGAGTGTGTATGTCAGTGTGTGGGTGTATGGGGGTGTGTGAGTCTGTGAGTGTGTATGTCAGTGTGTGAGTACACAAGTGCACGAGTGTGTGTGCTGGTGTATATGAGTGTGTGAGCATGTCTATGAGTGTGTGGGCATGTGTGGGGTGGGAGTGTGCACACACACTTGTGTGTTTATGTGTCAGAAGTTCAGGCCTGTGAAGGGCCAGGCTGGGCGCTTCGTGAGTTTGTGAGTGAGTGACATCCTGGCCAGCTGTAAAGTCCCCAAGAAGCCACCTTTGCTGTGCCAACGCTGCCCTGCCAGCGCCCAGCAGCCAGCTCTGGGAACCCCTGAAAGTGCCGCCATGGCTACCCCTCAGTCCGTCGCCGTAGGGCCCCCTTCCCACCCTGCGTCCAGCTCTCCCCAGCCCAGGCTCCCTCCCGGGGCCTCCCCTGACACTGGGGGCTGTACGCCTGTCTGACTGCTGAGCCCTCCCGTTCTGGGGACGTGCACACTCCCTGCGGCTGTCCCCTCCCAGGTGGGGTGCTCAGTCTGTGGGGAGGGGGAGGAGGAGGAGGAGGGGGTTGGCTTTTTATCGGTCTGCAGCTTTCCTTGAAGTCACCAAGCTCTCCCAACATTCAAAGCCTCGTGCCTGCCACACATAAAAGAGATTCTAATCACTACACCTAATTAGAGGAAAGAGTACATTGCGGAGAAAAAAATTAAGCAGCGTAAATATAATAAAAGGCAGTAATTAACAGTCCCACAAGGCGGATGCTGTGTTGACAGCTGAAGGATGTGGAGAGCGGATGGAACGGATCCACTTCCCGTCAGAAAGAGCCGGGCCGCCCTGGCGGGGCGCTGTGATGCGAGAGCCCCAGGTGCGGGGCGGTTTACGCCACGTATAAATCTACGGCAGGGAACCCGCTCTGATCCTCCCAGGGGACTCACAGAGTGATATCCTGGGGTTACGAGAGTCTGATGCCTAAATTTCCTTCTTGGATTTAGTGCAGACGATTTCACTTTATGGTGGTGTTTGTAATTTTTTAAAAATACTATCTGTGAAACACTCTTCCTTCTAAATCACAGATCAGCCCTACAGCTTACTTTCCTGCTCAAGGAAGAGAGCTGGAGGTTGCTGTCAAGTGTCACGTCAGGACAACCCCAAGTGTCTCCTAGAGCAGAGTGCACAGCCCGCCCAGCCAGGATTCTGGGTCTGGAGGCTGCTCTAGGGGGCTGAAGCGATCCCAGTCTGACACCTGGAAGGAGAGGGCAGAGAGGCCTCAGCTCGGCTGGTGCTGCCAGGGCGCGGCCTGCCGGGCACGGGTTTGGTCTGGACACGGGCTCGGGGCTCTGCAGGTAAGACACACGACCTTTGGCACTGCTGCCTGCTGCCCGCCTGCTTGCTTGTATGTGAGGTGCACACGCACTTGCACACACACATATGCACACACACACACACATACACATAGCCTCCAGCATGGGCCACGGCTGCCTGGTCACTCAGTACCTTCCTTGCACTCCAGGGCTACGCGGGACTCCAGGTTGTCCATCTGCATCTGCAGCCGCTTCAGCGTGAGGTCGCTCTCACGGGACTTGCGTTTGTAGGCGATGAGCACGGCCACGATGAAGATGATGAGGAGGCCGCCGGCCACGGCGATGCTGACGATGGCGGGCAGGCTGAGCGGGCTGTCCGGGGCGATGTACACCATCCCCGGGGAGTACTCCATGCCGCCGACACGGGCCTGCGGGCACACCGCGCGGGAGGGGGCTGGGTGTGGGGGCAGAGCAGCCCGGGGGAGAGTCCCGGGTCACCCAGGGCGGGATGAGGGGAAGCACGGCCCGGGAGGAGTCTCGTCACTGCCGTCTGCGGCAGGGGAGGTGGGGGCTGCGGGAAGGGATGGGTGAGGCCACCCCCAGCTGAAAACCCGTGGGTCTAGCACTGTCGTCTTCATAAAGAAAGAGCCCGCTCCTGGGACCTCAGCACAGTGTGCCATGGAGCCAGCGACGGGCTCCGTGAGGGTCACCCCCACTAGACGGGTGGACGACTGAGGCACAGAACATGGCATTGTGCACCTCCCCGGGCCAACACGGCCTCGTCCTTGAAGGCTCTCTCGCCTACGCAGGTGACTTAGCTCAGCACTCAGTGCTGCTCTGCACTCCCTCACCGCTGCTCCAGCCAGTATGGGAAGAATGACAATACGGAGGAGGCAGGCTCGAAAGTGGGGCAGGAGGAAGGAACTCGGGGTGTGAGGCAGGTACAAGGAAGGTTCACGGTGGGCTAGAATCCCCTCCCGGAAAGCCTGGTGGCCCGGGATGGAGCCGGACCACTCACATCCGCACCCCGGATGCCCACTCCGTCTGGGCGGGCCCCGCCAGCTCACCATCACTTTGTGCCTGCCGATGAGGTTCGGGGACTCGCACAGCAGCTGCACATCTGACACGGTCACAGTGCATGGCTTCTCCCCGACCAGCACGGTGTAGTTCAGCTTCACGTTGCCCCCGGCCACGGGAGGGATCAGGTTCTTCCCCTGGATGGACAGGAAAACCCAGTTCCCAGCCCAGAGTCAGGACCACTGCTGCCGGCTGGCACCCAGAGGTCCCATCCATTGCTGGTGAGCTGGAGAGGCCACCTTTGGCAATAAGTCCAAATATCCATGGTGCATATACCACCATTGCTCCTTCCTCCCCGCAGGAAATCCATAGTCAAAGTACTCTTTTCAGCTTATCCCAAATGCAGCCTCAGAATCTTTCTTAACACAGAGTTGGAGTTGCCACCAGGGGTTGATTCAAATTGTCATATGAGTTAAAATTAATTTTCAATCCATGCTCCAAAGAAACCTTATGCTGGGGTTTGTGAAAGGCCACCTAGGACGAAGCAGCATGAGCCTCTGACCTCCTAGTTCTTGGACTCTCAAGAAACAAAGCTTGGGAGTCGAATATTCAGGGTGCATCTGCCTGCCCTGCGGTGAAACTGGCCTGCAAAGTGAGTTTTCTTCCCAACACAAACACAGGGAGGACATTGATCAGACTCTGGGCTATGCTGCAACTTCTGCAAGGGATGTTGGCCCTGGAACGTGGCAGGAGCCTGTGACTCCTGGCTGTGTCTGTGACATGGAGCAGTGCCCGCCCTCCTCCCCACCTGCCCGCCACCCTCCCGCACCTTTAGGATGATGGGCGTGCCGGGCTTGAGCTCCAGGATCCCTGAGGGGCCAAAGGCCTCAAACACAGGGTTTGGGTAGTAGGTGAAGTTGGTCTTGTTGAGGATTAGCAGGGACTGGACGTTGTCCAGGATGAAGCCAAACTCCTCAGGCCTCTCTGTCAGGTCAGACTGGTGGTCGGGACCCAGCGCGAGGGCTGGAGCCTGGCAGGTCATCTCGGTGGCGTTCAGAACCTCGCAGATCTGCAGGGCAAGCCAGAGTGGGGGGTCTATGCAGTACACCCCCACACGCTTACTGCCCCAGTGCATACATCGGGCCTCCCAGGGGCCTTTGGTATACAATGGGGTCTATGCAGGAGGATTACGGACTGGTCACAGCTCTTCTGGAGCCAGACCACACACTGGGGCACTCAGGAATAAGCTCTCCAGGTGGCACCCAGTTCCGGTTTTGCCCATGGTGGGTGTGGCAGGGACTAGTTGGAAGAACGGAGTAAGGGTATGAAAAGCCGGAAACTCCAAGAGTCCTTGCTCCTCCACGGCTGTGCGCCAAGAAGTGACATTGCCCTTGTGTCTGCCCCCAACCCACCATGCCAGTGCTCAAGGCTGTCCCAGGCTATGGGACATCCACTATGGGTGGAGAGTCCTTGGAGCCCCCACCCTTTGGAGGAGCAGCCCGTGGAGTGGCAGCCCGGCCAGCCCCGCCAGCCCGGGACTCACGTTGATGTGCTCCTTCCCTCCGTGCTTGGCGCGGATCTGGGGGTTCTGTATGAGGTCCAGGTGCGTCCCCCACACAGCAATGGGTGTGTTGCCACTGACCCGGGAGAAAGAAGGAGGCGTGTGAATCACAAGCACAGGAAAAGCAATGGCACTTGACGATGACGGTAATGGAGTTGAGCTGTGACAGTAAGGACCATGATAACCAGGCAGCATAACCATGTTCACGGGGACCAGGACGACAAGCTGACCGCATAATAATGAGCGTGAGCATCGCAGCAGCCGAGGGGAAGACGGCGATGGTCAGATGTCCGTGGCCGCCCTTCCCCAATTGCGTTCATGGTGTGGACACCCCCCGGAGGCCTGGTCTAGGGCTCAGCCCACTTGGCCCACCCAGGGCCTGATCTGAGCCAACTTCTTCTCTGCAACGCCCAGCCCAGGTCCTCACCGGTCTGGGCACTCTTTTCACATGGGCCGTGGCCTAATGTAAGCCCCGCTCCAGATCGTCCTCGCCAGCCCCTCGGGTGGCGCAGCCTGCTCCCCCAGGGTGGTCACACCACAGACTGCTACTCTGGAGGCTTCAGTCAGGCTGAGATCAAAAGCAAATGCTCTGAGACTCGGTTTCCTGCACCCTGGCTGGCACGGGACCGCCGGCGGGGAGGGCTCGGGGGCTTGTCTTACATAGCCTTTTACAAAGGAAACTTGGACTCCGGTGCCCATCCTTACAGTGGCCGAGACGCGGGCGTGCAGGGGTGGGCAGCACCCTACTGGACTGAACTTTCCTTGGGGGCTACTCAAAGAGAAGTGAGGAATAACCTGACCCCCAGTTCAAGGAGTGTCTTTGAGAAAAACCATGTTTAGCAAGTTAGTTTTATGCTCAGTAGGTAAAGAATCCATGACACCCACACCCACATTCGTCCACACCCATCTACCCACCTGTCTATCTTTATACTGCCAGTTACTTGCCCCTGCCCCACACACGTACATGTGCATACACGTGCATATACGCACACACACAAACGCGAGCACGCAGGAAGATTCCTGTGGGACCCAGAGAGGCCCTTCCGCCCAGGGCAGTGCTGGAGTTGAGCTTCTGGAGTCCAGCCCTCCAGCCATCATCCCCCAACCTTCTCAGTCACCAGTTCGTTACGCAGTTGCCAAATGCCCACCTCACCGTTCATGGGCCACCCGGGCCGAGCCGTGGCCGTCGCAGGGCCCCACCCCAGCTCAGGCTCGTTAACCTAAGCAGAGCCCGGAGCTGGCGGGCAGCCCCAGACGCGTCTCCAACCTCCCTCGTGACCTGAGCAAGACTAGAGGACAGCAGCCGCGCACCGGGGAGGACGGCACCTCCGTCTCCGCCACCTCCGTCTCCGCCACGATGGCACAGGAGGGACTGAAGTGGGCCAGGCCGTGAGCTCCTCAGAGAGCGGCAGAGTGTGCCGACTGAGTCGCAGGGTCAGAGCCCGCGGAGCTCCCCCAGGCCGCCTCCTCTCCACGCCTCGTCTTCCACACCTGCTTTCAGACCTGGCTAAAGCTTAGAAGGTTTGGGCCTCACAGAGCAGCGGCTGAGGACAGCCCATCTCGGCTCAGCAGGCAAAGGCTGCCTTTCCAGTGGGCTCAAGGCAGGGGGTGGCAAACTCCCTCTGCAAAGGGCCGGATGGTAAACATTTTAGGCCTTACAGCATATGGTCCCTGTCGCAATTACTCAACTCTGCTGTTGTGGTGAGAAAGCAGCTACGGACAGAACATATACGAATGAGCCTGGCTGTGCGCCAATAAAACTTTATTTACAAGAGCAGGTGGCCAGCCAGATTCAGCCCACGGATTGGCGTTTGCTGGCCCCTGGTTTAAAAGCCTGTTCCCTGGACCCAGCGCTTTCCCAGTGATCTCATGAGCCTTACAGAGAGGATGCTCTCTGCAGGATCCACTCATCCCTTGTCCTCCAGGGCCTGGAAAGGCAGACCTAAGCTGTGTGCCGACAGCTCGTCCCACAATGTGCGACTCACCACCCAGGAGACCCTAGAGACCCTGGAGTCCCCAAATCCCCAGTGGCAGAGACACAGGAAGACGATGGAAGCTGCCCCAGGTGAGTGGCTAAGCGAGAACCAGCACTGAAGGTCCCCAGTCCCTGCTCCAGGGTCTTTCTCTAACAGCATCTAATGCCTGGTCCTTCCCTCCAGGATGCATTCAGTGCATCCGTGTTGGGCACCGGGAAAGAGCAAGGAAAAGACCCAAACTCTGCCCTTGAGGATGTTGCTGCAGAGGGAATGACAAACATAAGCAGGCAGCTAGAGGTCACGCTAAGACGAGGACTGGCCATCAGGAGGCTTTGGGAGCACAGGGATGGCTGTCTGGAGAGGGCCTCCGGGGTCAGGACATGGCCTCATTCCAGGGCAGGCCAAGAAGTCAAGCCTGCTCTGACTCCTTCTCCTGCACCCCTCGGCCTGAAGGCAGGATCAGAGTTATTGCCTATGTTTGCCAGGAGTGAAGCAGACTGGTACCCTGACAGTCACCATAGGATAGGAACAGGGCCCCCAGCACAGAGCCAGTCCTCAAACTGCGGGAGATGGGCTCTTGCTGGTCGGAGCTTGGCCTCCAGGCTGGGTCCTGGGCAAAGATGCTGCCAGCAGAGGGAGGGAACCACAGGACGAAGGTCTGATCTGGGGGTGCTTGGAACCAACCCCAGTTCATCAGTACCCCAAGCAGGACTGCGATCCCAGAACTCTTCTTGGCTTTTGAGAGTCAGGAAGGGAAACTGAGGTGTGTTGGCATTAAAATCCACTTGGGGCAGCTCCTACCTGACGATGCTCCACTCCGGCTCAATGCGCACGATGGTGGGGTCCTCCACGTACTGGAAGACCAGGTCCTGGTGGATCTTGGCCCTGTCCACCTGCACCATTACCTTCATCTCCAGCACCTCGTCTGAGGACGTGGTGTTGCAGACTATGTAGGATGGAGATCGCCTGGAGGGAGGGAGAGAGACAGTGCTGGGTGGCTGGGCGTCGAGGAGGGACAGTGGCCCTGGGTCAGGGTCCTCAGAGGCAGTGGGTGGGTGCTGTCCAAGATACAGAGCTCAAGGGCCAGTGACAAAGATGCTCTCCTTGACCCGAGTTTGGACAGGCTCCTCTGACCCTCACCCTTGGGTCTGTCTTTGGTCTGCACAGCCCTGTTCTTGCTGGATCCTGCCAGGTCTGTTTCGCGAGAAGCCCCCACACCTGGTATGTGATCACCTTGACAACTGATCGAATTCCTCATGCCTTGGTGTCTGCTCACTCTGGCCTGCCTCCAGCCAGAATCCTAAGTTCGGTTAGCAAGAGCCCCCTGCCCCTGACGGCTCCTCTAGAGATTTCCGCCTCGGACCCCTCACCCTGCCTGTTGGCTGTAAATCTCCATCCCCGGCTGTCTTTGTCATGTTTGGAGTTGAGCTGATCTCTCTCCCCTATTGCCCTAGTCCTGACATCAATTGCAACAGTCCTGGATAAAGTCTTCCCTACCACTTTAACACGTGTCAGAATAATCGCTTCTGGAACACCAGTGCTGCCAGGCCTGGCCTGGTCTGATGTCAGGTCTGTCAGGGCCCTCACCATAGCTCCCTGCAGACAACCTCTCTCTAGAGACAGAGAGAGAGGTCAGCCGAGGGCATGCCCCTGGCCACATCTCCTCAAGTCCTCGCTGGACGCATCTCCTCCCACCCTCTCCCCCAGCTATAGCAGGTGTGCCCATCTGGGGTCCCTGCCCCCATCCACTCCTGCCAGGCCTGGCTGGCTGGCTCTGCAGCACCTGGAAGGGACCTGACCCTGGTGAATGGGCTACGGTTGTGGAGTCCAAACTGTGTTCTGGGGCACCTCAGGGCTCTGCAGAGTGGGGGCCATGGGGCACCAAAGGAAGGGGCTGCAGCATGATGGGCCTGCCCAGGTGGGGCAGCCTGGCAGGTCTCCGGACTGTGCCAAAGTTGTCTCCCAAAGAGAACGCCCACTGCCCTAGGGAGGAGGAAGGACTTGCAAGGAGTTAGCCTGGGAAGTCCCTGCATTTGGCAGCCTGTCCCCACTCTGCAGGGCACCTAACCTGCCCTGAGGTGATCGTCCTGTCTCACCTTGCCCCCCCGCCCTCCAGGGCTGCAGAGAGGGAGTTACCTGTGGAAGAGGCAGGGCTGCTTCCCGAACATCACCACCACGTTGCTGCCGGCATTCAGGTTGGTGCCTGTGATGGTCACTTGGGTGCCCCCAGACATGGGCCCCCGGCTGGGCTTCAGGTCTGAGAGAGTCAGCGTCTGTGTAGACAGGATGTGGCCTGAGACACCACCAGGACAGGATGGAGGGGGCTTCTGGGCAGGCCTGAGGCCCTGCGCCACTCCCCCAGCTGCCTTCTGGAATATTTAGTAACGGTGACCTCCCAGAGAGCTGCGGCAGTTTTGTTAGGCTTGTGTTGTGAACTAAAATAAAATCCCAAGCCCTCCCGCTATCTGAGCAGATCCTTTCTTGGCCAACGGGACCCCAGAAAAACCTGAAAACTGAGGTTCCGGCCGTGGGGAAGGGAGGTTGCACACGCCTCCTCATACCCCTGCCTTCTAGAGTTTGGACAGGACAACTGACTTGCATAATGTCAAAACAGAGATCATAAGACTGACAAAACAGACTCCTTGTGACAATAAGGCACTAAATTATTAACAAGACCTAAAGCCACGCAGGGCAAAGGTTAAATCACTACAGGCCGCCAATTTGCTTAACAGATCCCCCAAGTATTGTGGCTTGTCTCTGATTAACTCCTTAACTTAAAACAGCCCAAGTCTTTAGACAAAGCTTTATTTCTTTAACCATTACAAATCAAAGAATTTTTTGAAGCCACCTATAAACTGTAAGTCTCCACCCTTCTTGGAGATGCCCAGCCTTTTTGGGCCAAACCAATGTACACCCTCCGTGTATTGATTTCTCATTTTACCTGAAATTCCTGTCTCCTTAACATGTATAAAGACAAACTGTAACCTAACCACCTTTGGACCACTTGCTCAAGACTTGTTGGGCATGGCTTCCTCAGCCATGATCACACATATTCGGCTCACAATAAACCTCTACATTTTGTTTTTACAGAGTTTGGGTTTTTTTGGATTAACAGTGTAGATAGGCAATGTCCTGGACCCTGAAAATTGCATCTCTATATTAATAACAGTAATAATAACAGCTGCCATGTACTGATTTTTTAAGTGTTAGGCTATATGTCTTTCATCTGTAGCAATAGATATGTACGTATATAATTTAATCTGCCAACCACATCTATAAAGGAGATATTATTACCTATTTTACTGATGAGATTCAGAGAGGTTAAGTAAGTTTTCCAAGGTCACAGAGCTAAAAAGTGGCATAACTGAGATCTAACTCCAGAGCTCACGTTCTCGACCCCGCTCCAATCTACAGTCTCTGTTCTTGGGAAGGTGACTTGTCCCTTCAACAGGCCTCTCCGGAGAGCTGCCCGCAGCACCCAAGGGCAGAGCAATGGGATGGGAGGGCCCCAGGGAAAGCCCAGGAGAGGAAAAAAGGGTCAGTTGCTGTCAAGGGCTGCAGTAGCCCTGGGCCAGGATGGGCCTGCTGAGGAGTGGGGCTCTCAGTGGGGGCAGGGCAGAAAAAGCCCTTGACAGCTGGGGATTTGGAGTTGCAGTTTGTTCTTTCATTAGCATTTTAATGGAAAAACTTTCTTCAGTCCCAGGTGAGAAGCCTGTATCTGCATTTAAATGAAGATTTCTCTCTCCCTTCCCCAGCCACCTCCCCCTGAAAGAATTCAGCAAAGAAAGTGGAGCCCACTGGGCTCCTGGGAGCGGCTGGCAGCCCCCGCTCCGCAGTGATACCTCCACAGGAGGAGGAAGGCCCAGCAGAGCTGCACACCCGCCGCCTGGCACGTGCACGCCCAGGTCTGGGGACACACACGGACTGCAGCCCCAGGCCTGCCTCACCAGCTCCCAGTGTCCTGTCTCTGGATCCCATAGCATGGGCCAAGCCTAGGAACAGCTTGTAATCACGGCTCCATTCCAGGCTCAACCAGGAAGAGGATGGGATGAGGCTGTGGAAAGAGACCTCCCTTTTCAGCTCTGCCTGGGTGATACTGTGTGACTCTAGCCGAGACACTTAGCCTCTCTGGTCACAAAATCAGGGGTCTCAGCAAAAAAAAAAAAAAAGTGGTTATATTTAAGGTCCTTGAGAGTTTTCTCATTCTGTAGGTTGAACCTCCTCAAATGGTCCCTTTGCCCCGTTGTAAAGGGGCACTGCTGACCTCCCCAGAGAGGGAAGGGAAAGTCAGAGAGAGAGTCCGTGCACACGGGCTTCGAGGCAGGGATGATTCTAGAAAGATACAGTCAAGACCAAGCGTCACAAAGGGTATTCCTGTAACAAAGACGTTTGTACTCTCTTAATGTTTTGAAAATTTTAAAAAAGGGAAAAAAACCCGCAAGGAAGTCACAATAGATGGGGGACGGGGTGGGCGCGCCCTGGCAGCCTCAGGTGAGAGTTTCCAGAAGGGGCAGAGTGAGGCGATCCCGGCAAGCTCTGCGGTGGCGCTATCAAGGGCCGGCTGGCGGGGAGTTATTCCGGGGTGGGGAGGGGATGTTATGGAGACATGTTTTAGAGTTGTGAGAAACTATTAATTATTCAAGTCATGCCTCATAAATATTTCACGGTGGGTCTGCGCGGGGAATCAGATCCGCGTTCCTTGCCGCCTCTTCGCCTGTCTCCGTGACGGTGGCACGGGAGCGGCATTCCCTGCACGCAGACCGCTGGCGACAGCTGTGACAGCTCCCGGTGCTGATCCGGGGCCTCGGTGTTGGGTTTGGTTTGGGGTGAAGAAACCCACAGTCAGAGTCTGGCCTGACTATGGAGGGAAACCGAGGGAGCCCCTGACCTTGCACCCTGCCTCGGCACTGGGGAGGGCTCCCCAGCTGTGCCAGAACCCCAAGGGGCTGGGGGCTTCCGTGTTCCGGCCCAAAGAGTGCCACCCCTGAGCTGCCTTGCTGAGCGGGAAGGCCAGCAGTGAGGCTCTGCGATGCCGGGGAGGATGACAGACGGGGACTGTGTCCCTTTCCGACTCCCTGAAGAGACTCGCAGGGATGTGAGCTCCTCATTTCCACCCAGAACCCCTAGGAGCTCTGTGGGGGGGCGGGGGGTCTGGCACCCTTCCTCCTCCCTGAAAGACTGTCCAGCAGACATGCAGCCCCAGGGCTGGTCCTCAGAGACTCCCCTCGTGCAGAAAAGAGATACAAATCTGAGCCCCAGGGCCCCTGGGACCAAAGCCTGTCTGTCTGCCTTGTGGCATTCACTGTCACCTTCCCTGGCCTGCCTCTCCTCCTCCTCACCCATCCCTTCCCCCTCCCTCCCTCTGTTCCCATCTTTTGGTGCACTTGCCAGGAACTGCCTCCCACTACATGGAAAATCACATATTCTCTCTTAATACCCCAAACTCAGCCACGGCCTGCTCCAGGGTGGAAATGATCACGCAGGCAAGACGACACCTTTCCGGGGAGCAGAGGGGGCTTTCCCATATCTAACACACAGGCTCGCTGTAGGAATTAGAACACAGTGGAGTGCACCGGGCACAGGGCTGTCACTTCCCATGGGGGGGACAGGGGTCCTTGCCCAGGATGCACTTCAGAATCACCTGGGCAGCTGTGCAGGCTGATTAATTAGTCTCGGCAGGGGTGGGAGAGGAGTCCTCTGTGACAAGAACAGGGCACAGGGAGGACCCACGGAGTCCCTGTGAGGGCTGGGCTGCAGCTCAGGTCTGCATGTTCTGGGCTCTGAGGAACGAGGGCACAGGCCCGGTGCAGCCAGGGAAGGAGATGGGGACAGGCGGGCGGCCGGGAACACAAAGGCTGGAGAGGTGGGACTGGGTGTGTGGGTGGCCCGGCCAGGAGCCTGGACAACAGCTCACAGGCTCTTCTGGAGGTGGGGCTGACCTGACACCGGTGGCATTTCTGCGGTGGCAGGTGGATTACAAGGGTGCAGAGAGAAAGGCAAGGGAAAGATTTAAGGTGCCCATTGTGGTGGCAAAGAGAATGGGAAAAGGAAGACTCGGGACAAGGTGACAGGTTGGTATCAGGAGTTAGGGGAAGCTGAGCCCGGTCTACCAGCACTGCAGGCCTGGGGACAGGCCACCGATGGGACGGCCAAGAGAGGAGGACACACTGTCTGTGGGGGCCGGCAGCCTGGATGGGCCGTGTGGTGAGGACAGCAGGACACCTGCGTGCTGTGGCCCGTGACCTGGTCACGGAGATGGGAGGCCTGGCTAGAGCCCCCGGGTGGAGGCAGCTGAGGCTCGAAGGAGCGCTCAGCTTAATGGGGTCGGGGTGGCTGTAGCGCTGTCATCAGGGCTGCTGCCATGACCACAGGATGGAAACCTCCTCTGGGCAGTGGACGGGTCAAGGACGCCAGCGCCGGCGGTGGCCATGCACCAGTCCCCTCCCTCTCCACCTCAGCCGCCAGGTAACATCCGAGCCAGATTTCATGCCCGATTTTAGCAAATACCTGGTGAGTATCATCTCCCTGTCTCAATCTCTCTCTCTCTCTTTGTCTTTCTTTGTATATATAATATACAATATATATGTGCATGCTTTATATATAAATATGTATACATCTATCACTGGCTGTCTTGATGTGTACTGGGTTTACCCTACAAATTCCCTTATTGCAGAAGAAAGTGGGGGTATAAATCCAAAACAAGTAAGTTTATTTGTTTAAATGACCTCTCCATGAACTCCACCCTATGTACATGTTCTCATTATATGCAATCCCCGTGCCTGTGCAGTGACAGCCACTGTGTCCCCATGCGTGTTGAGTGACAGCCACTGTGTCCAGAGGCTGGCTGGCTTCCAGGGAGCAGAGGTGGGGGACGCAGCCGCAGGCCCAGGCAGGAGCAGCTCTCTGAGGTTTGGCCCTGAGCTCACTCATGTCTGTGCTCAAGTCCTCGTGCCTGGGGGGTCGTAGCTCCCCTCCCATGGCCACCTGAGGGAGGGCTGGGGTGGGTCTCATTCATCACTGTGACCAGAGCCATTACATTACAAAACTCAGCTCAAATAAGTATTTATCCGATAACCTGGTGAGAGGTATTGTGCAGGGGATAAATGGCTGCCAGTTGAAGGAAGAAGAAGTAAGAGGGCAAAGGAGAGAAAAGAGGATGAAGGGAGGATGGAAGGAAGGGAATGGGGGGAGGTGAAAGCCAGACTTCCATGACAGACTTCAGGGCCTTGGTGCCCAGGCATAAAATCCATCACTTCAGGCTCTTGGCTTCCAAGAGCAGCTCAGGATCACGAGTGGCAGAGAATGTGCGTGTCTCCACCATCCCCGTGATCACAAAGCCCTTGTCCCCCAGAACCACCTGCCAGGCAGCGTTTGCAGACATGGGAAGGTGCAGGCTGGAGGGAATTCAAGGACTGGGGCGAGGTCCCAGAGAGGCCACGGGATGGGGACGGGGTGGTGGGTGAGAGGCGGGAGGAGGGAGATGGCAGGTGGGCGGTGGGGAATGACATGTGGGGCAGGCAGGGGTAAGGGGCCACGGGATGGGATGATGGCGAGTGGTGGTTGCTTTGAACGTGCGCCCCATAGTCATGTGTCGGAAGCTTAATCGCCAGTGCAACATTGCTGAGATGTGGGACTTTAGGAGGAGATTAATGTCACTGCCGCAGGAGTGGGTTCATTGCCATGGGAGTGGGTTTGCTATAAAAGCGAGTCAGTCCCTCTCTTACCCTTTTGCAAGTGCTCTCCTGCCCTTCTACCTTCCACCATGGGACGACACGGCCAGAGGGCCCTCCCCAGGTGCAGACCCTCAGTCCTGGACTTAACCAGCCCCCAGGACCATGAGCCAAACAAGTATCTGTTCTTTATAAATTACTCAGCCTCAGGCATTCTGGACTAAGACATTGGGGCAGATGGGGAGAATGAGGGTGGTGGGATGATGATGGTGTGAGCACATAGGTGACAGCCACAGAAATAATAAAAGAAATGATACTAGAAATAATATACACATTTTATGTCATTTTCACAAGATCATGGGGTAGATGCTCTTATTATCCCCATTTTATAAATGGAGAAACTGAGGCCCAAAAATATTAAGCAACTTTCCCAAGTTGACCCAGGTAGTAAGTGGCAGAGCCCAGGCTGAAATCCTAGGAGTCTCCATGCAATGTTCACACTGTCATCTACCTCCCATGCCACCTGGCCCATGGGGACACTGGGCCCCAAGAGCTAAAGCAACACACCTGCAGCCACCCAGCCCGGCACAGCCAAGTCTGGATTTGAATCCAGATCTTCCAGACTTCAAATCCTGTGTTCTCCCTCACTGTGGGACAGGACTCCCATGAATTTAGGGGGGCTTGTATAGGGGCTTCTTGACCCGAATTTGCCCACAGAGGTCTCGAGGGACCCCGCAATCGTGGTAATGAGGTCTGTGGCCTGCTCCTGCCAGGTGGCTGGTGGCCAGGACTCACCATGAAGTAGTAGAGCTGCGAGGACCGGGCCATGAACTCAGGTCGACACACAGCCACGCAGATCTCCACGAAGCCCGCGTGCTGGCTGGGCTTGGCCTCCCCCATCTCGCACACAATCCTGCAGGGAACAGAGGAGACACCGTGGGTTACAGGATGCCCAGCCATGACCCTGGGCCCCTCAGCACTGACCCTGGCCCCTTTCTCTGCAGTAGGATCTCAGGGAACGGCAGGGAGAGGCTGGTAAATGATACCCGGATTTCTCCCTGCAGGGGCTCCTGCTTGGCTGTCAGGAAATGTTGCGGGAGGCCTAGGACAGGGCCCTGTGTTCTGACTCCAGACGCTCAGTCCCCACTGCATGCTCATCCCCTCAACCGTTAGCTAGATGGGAGGGAACGTGTCAGCCATGGCTCAGGGAATAGAGCTGGCAGAGCCCAGAGTGGTGAAGCGACCAACCCAAGGCCCCAAGCAAGTCAAGCCCAGAACTTGGAGCTGACCTGTTTTCCAGGCCCTGACCTAGGAGCTTCATGCTCTCAGCGCTCCGGCTGCCTCAGTGAGGAGCTGCCTGCCCGAAGCCAGCCCTGCTTCCCTACTTGTGTGTGTGTATTTGTGTGTGGGGGTGGGGGTGGGGGGGGTTAAAATTTTCCCTTTTAAAAAATTTTTATTGCTTTAATTACAAAATTTGTTCATACCCTTTAAAAACAAACAGTACAGAAGTGTGGCAGTAAGGAGTGAGTGCCTCTTTCTTCACTCCTAACCACTCAAAAATTTTCTATATATCTTCTTGCAGACATACATATATACACACACACACACACACACACACACACACTCTGCATTTTACAAATGAAGAAACTGAGGCACAGACAAGTTAGGCAACTTGCACAAATATATATATTTGCATACATACACACATATATACATGTATGCATATATATTTATATTTTATATGCATGCATGCACATAAATATAAATATGTTACATATACACACATACATACAATTATACCAGGGCTGTCCAGAAAGTATCCAGCCATTATATTCATATATCCATTGTATCCATGGCTGGATACTCTCCGGACAGCCCTCATAAACAAATATACATATAGATGTAGAGAAAGATATATGTACTTTTCTTAAGATAAAAGCAAAACATACCATACCTACTGTTGCAAATATCTGTTCTTACTCAACACTACAGCATAGACTTTCCTTCATGGCACTCAGAACACAGCTCGAGTTTATTCTTTTTAACATCTTCATGGTATTTCATAACATGATTGCACCATCATTTACGTAATAACCACCCTCCCACAGAAGAGCATTTAATTATCCTGATTTTTCTCCTACTCCAAATAATTCTGCAGAATGAACCAACTTATGCACACATCCTTAAGCATCGTATGTTTACTGGAATAGATTCCTAAAGAGGGAACTTACTGGGTCAAAAAGTTTGTGGATTTAACATTTGATAGCTAAAGCCAAATAATGCTCCAAAAAGGCTGTGCCAATTTCCACTTCTACCAATGGTCCACTCTTTGGCCAAAACTAGATATTCACAATCCTTTGAAAGTTTTTCCAATATAATAAGGGAAAGAGATCTCATTTTACTTTTAATTTCCATGATTACTAGTGAGGTCGCACATATTTTCATGTGCTTTTTTCCCCCTAACCTTACATAGCCTTTCCTGTGACTTCTCTGTTGAAACCCTCTCTCTATTTTGCTGATGGATTGTCTTTTTGCAGAAACTTGTGAATTGGAGTATGAATTTTAATTTGTTATAAATATTGCAATTATTTTCTCCTTGTTAGTCATCTTTCAACTGTATTTCCAATGTCTTTTGCTGCACCAAAGCTTAAAAGTATCTGTGTGGTTAAATCGGTTGTTCTTTTACTTTATGGTTTCTAGGTTTTGTGTTTCTCTTGGAAGAAACTTCTGAGTAAGGGTCCTGCACAGATAAATACATTTCTGTCCAAATAACTTAATTAATACATGTTCAATATAAAAAAATATGGAAAATATGTAAAAGCATTTGTCATACATACACCCTCCCAACCAACTGCACCACTCAGAAATACCCATTGTCAACATTTGGGTGTATATGTGTCTAGTTTTGCTTTTCTTTTACAAAATTAATTATAAACTCTGCATTCTACTTGATAACCTGTATTCTTGCTTAATAAGCCTCAAGTGTATGCGTGGCCATGATTCTTCTCTAATATCAGATTTAATGGCTGTGTAGTTTACTATCCTATGCATACACAATAATTGATTGAATTCCCTATTTTTAGACATGCAAATTGCTTCTGAATGTTTACTATTACAAATAAGGCTGAAATAAGCATTCTTGCAAATAAATGTTTGTGCAGTCTTGTTATTTAGGGAATGTTCTAGAAGTGTGATGGCCAGGCTAAAGCATTTTGACATGTATTTCTAAATTGTCATCCAGAAAGTTTGTCCCAATTTACCCTCCCACCATGATGAGCAAAGAAGTCAGCAAGTTCCCACAGCTTGCTTCTCATCTGCACTGGGGGTTCACTTTTTAACATTGTTCCCCATTGTTTTAATTTGCATTTCATTGATTACCACTGCTGTTAAAGATTTTTTTTTTGCATATGGCTTTTGGTTCTCTGTATATCTTGTGAATTATACATTTAGGCTCTTTGCTTGTTTTTTGTGATCTTTGCCTTTTGTTTATAAAACCTCCTTATATGATAAGAAAAAGTATTATCTGTGATAGGGTATAACTATATTCCAAGTTTATCATTCACATTTCTATTTTGCTTACAATGATATCTGATGCACATGTCTTAAAGATTTATGTACTCAAATCCCCTCATCTTTTTCTTTATAGTTTCTTCTTTTGCTGTTAGAAACTTCCCTCTTCCGGAGATCAAATAAATTTTCACCTGTATTTTCTTCTAATCCTTTCACAGTTTCATTTTTTAAACTTAACTCTTTAATCCATCTGGGATTTATTTTGGTGCATAATGCAAAACACCAATCTGACATTGTACTTTTTCCGGGGAATTAACCAGTACCAACTATTGAATGATCTCACCTTTCCTTTGCTGATTTGAAATGCAACCTTGATCATATACTAAATTTTTACATATCGGGATTCTTTTTCTGAGTGTTCTATCTTATTGTACTGATGGAGTTAGTATCACAATATTTTAATCATGTGGCTTTATAACAACATTTTTGATATCTGGCTATGTAGGTTTAAAGTAGGATATTTTAAAATTCCCCAAATCATAATATATCAGTAGCAGCCTACTTCGGTATTGTTCTAGAAATGCCTCCGCAAGGTGAAGGAACCAAAGAAAGATCTTTTGGCAACTAAGCAATGATGGACCAGGAAGGTGAGTCCCACCAGGACCAGATCCTTAAATCATCCGACATACTCTGAGTGCCTTGGGAGGATCCTGATGTAAATGAAGGAGGATTGAGGATGGCAGTACTGACGGTTTAGAATCACTAAATCTGGGTAAGACCCAGCAAGCAGAAATGGAAACTGCACTGGCATACCTAAGGGAAGCCTTGTGAAGAGTCAATAACTTATACACACAGGACGAGTGACAAGGTTTTGCTCCAGGAGGGACAACACAGATGGTGTGGAATATAGATTCTGTTGTGCTGCTAAACATTCCACAGTTGTGTTTGCTGGGCTGGAAAATGGTGCTTACTTATTTACAAGGCAATACATGATTCGCAAACCTCCTGCACTAGCCGGGTTCCAGGCCAAGGTCGCTGCTGAACGACCCTCTCAGTGGGCAGCAGACTTTGCAGAGAGAAAAACAATCCGAAGTACCCACAGGCCCGAGAGTGGGTGTGGAATCTCATTTTCAGTCTCCGAAGAGAGTGGCACAGGATCAGCCTCGTGGTGGTGGGGTGCTGCGGGGGCAGCTGGGGACAGCAGAGGGAATTGAACTCATCCTTCTCTTGCACATTTTAATTTTGTTCTGTCTCACCTCCACCCCGCATGCTCCAAGTTGGTAATAGCCACTCTTCTCTGCCTCTCTACGCTCCCCTGGCAGGGCAGCTGGCTCGTTCAGTGGGTGAGGAGCTGAACTCCTAGAACATTAGGACACTCTCCTCTTTCCCCCACCACAAGTTCTGGGGCCATCTGCTGTTGACCAGGGAGTCCCTGACACCGACTTGTCTTCCCTCCCCTCCCCTTCCTCCCGTGTCTCAGTAAGTGGCTCCACTTACTGTTCTGCAGGTATGTAGCCGTCCACCAACGGGCTGCACTCCACGCCGGCCACCTTGACGTGCGAGGCGATGTCGCGGAATTCCAGGCCCAGGTTCTCCCCTCGGATGGTGACCTTGGTGCCCCCTTCCCGGGGGCCTGTCACTGGGATTATCTGGAGAACGGAAGCGAGATGATTGGACGGGCACCAAGATGCAGCCCTCACTCACTTGCTGATGGGGCCAGGAGAGGCTGTGGCTCTCCTCTCCTCTGCGCCCACGTCCCTGCGTGGTCCATGTCCATGGGGACACCCTAAGCCTGGGATGATCAGTGGGCAGTAGCTTTGGGCAAAGCAGCCCATGTCTGTGTGTGGTCTTATGAGCAGTGTTGGAAGCCTGTGGAAGGAACATCTTCCCATTTCACAGGAGAAGAGATGAGGGGATGCAACGTGATCAGCAGTGCTACCCAGTGATTCATAGGAAACTGGGGTTTGCGTGTGTTTGTCCACTCTAAAGGAAAACTAAAACCCCTGCCCAGAGCCCCACCGCCCCATGGTAATCCTACCCATCTTTCGAGACGCTTCTCAAATGTCACTTCCCAGAGCCCCATTTCCTTTCTCTCCACTGAAATTCCAAGGCACCTTCTTTGTGCCACTCGCAAGTCACAGTTACTGTGCCTGGTTCCTCGTCCTTCCCACCCCGAGCCCCTCCCTTGCCGTCCTGAGTCTGTGGGCCGGGACCGTGTCTCTCCTCTCCCTGCGGCCTTTGCAGTGACAGCACCGCCTTTACATCTCGATTGTGATTGTACTGGAACCCACAGCTATCCAAACATCGTTCTGGAATTGTATGAGCATTTCTTACGATCCCTTGGGCCTTCCGTTTTAGGCTTGGTGTCTCATGGATTTGGGTTAAATTTAAACTTTACCTTCATACAATGGTCAAAATGAGTGGCTTTCCCTCCTAGGAGGTCACCATCTGTGTTAGAAACCCATGATTGACATGTCAGGAGGGCCTGCCTTGAGGTGGGGCTATGTGCAGTTGACAAGTGTCATCGTGACATGCTGTAATCTATAGACCAGAGAAGGGCCGGCTCCCATTGCTGGTGACTCTGAGCACCAGCCTGGATCTCGGCCAATGTCCATGAGATCGCAATGCAAGGAGCCCAGAGAGCCCGTCTCCAGCCCTTTCCAGCATGTCCTGCCCTCCCACCCTGCAGGTCACAGCTGGGGACGGCATCCTGGGGTGAGAGTGAAAGGGAAGTGGAAAGAACTAGGTGTGGGGCTGCCTCCAGTGGCAGCTCTGCCAGTGAGGCTGCTCAGCGACAACAGTCCAGCTACCTGCTGCCTCCTACGCAGCCCCGTGTGCAGGAGGGCATGTTTGTGAGTGAACACGCACATAGGTGTGAGCACGTGCATAAGCGGGTCCCATCACAGGGGAAAAACAGCTTCCCTGGAGACTCGGGCGCATTTCTGTGTGACGGAGATGGGCAGATGCGAGGAAGACAGGGAGTGGGAGTGTCTGTTCTTCCCAAATGCCTGCCCAGCTGGTCCCCAAAGCGCCACTGGCACCTGGCAGCAGCGTCCCCATGATAGTCTAACCCTATTTTGTCATTCTGAACAAGGAGTTTTATCTCTGGCCCAGCGCTTGGTTTCCCAGGTTCCCCCAGGGCCAATGCCAGCAAGGAGGCAGTAAACAGCCTCCGTTGCAGGGAGATTTGTTTAATTTGCCATCCCCTCCCTGCGATTTTCTTGGACCCAGGCCAAGAGAAAAGCAAGTCCCACCAATTGCACCAGACACACCATTAGCGGCCATGTGCCAAAGCCCCCAGGGACAGTTTCTCATTACGGGCTCAGGGAGCAGCGGCTCCGTGGCAGAGGTGCAGGGGTGAGAGTGGGGGTGGGAAGGGAGCCCTGGCCGGGGTGTGGGGCCGGGACAGTGGGGAGAGGGGAGGTCCACCTGCCTCCTCTTCCAGGTCATTCTGTAGGTTAAATGCACAAATATTTTCCCCCAGTTTGAGAATCACGGTTTAGATTCCTACCTGCACAGGAGACTGAAGTGGGGGGCTGAGAGTCTAGATAGAGTCTAGACTAGAGCAGGGATGTGGAGGGTAGAGGGCTAAAATGTGGGCACATTTTGCAGGCCACCCCTAGGGGCTGCATTGCTGGGTGAGGCTGCTCACTCACAAAGCCCAGATCCTTCCAGCTTCCACCATCCTGGTGTACATCACAGTAGGGAGGCGGGGCCAAGTCCTTCCACTGCGGTACAGGGGACATTCATCTAGGGATCCAGAGACCTGGGACTCAGGCCCATTTTATTTACACTTGGTTAGAGTAAACACTCCTCTCTGAGCACTGGTCTCTGTCTGGGAAAGGGTGATAATAACCCTGGCCGTGGCAGGAATTATGGGTTGGCCATGTGTCCCCACCCCAAACTCACATGTTGAGGTCCTAACCCTTAGTACTTGAGAATGTGACCTTATTTGAAGATGGAGTCTTCACAGAGCCACCAGGTTTAACTGAGGTCATTAGGGTGGGCTTTGGTACAATATGACCTCTTGAAAGGGGGAACTTTGGACACAGAGAGACGTGCACAGAGACGGTGGGAGCCCCACGTGGAGAAGACGGCCAGCCACAGGCCAGGGAAAGGGATCTGGTGCAGATTCTCCCTCCCAGCCTTTGAGGGAACCAGGCCCGCTGACTCCTTGATCTTGGACGTCTACCTCCAGAACTGCGAGACTATTGCCTAAGCCGCCCAGTTTGTGATGCTTTGTAACGGCAGCCCCAGCAACACGACAAAACAGGGTGTTGCGAGGACAGGAAAGGTAGCAGGTGTGAAGGTACCGTGCAAGCTGTAACACGCTACACACAGACAAGACATGTGACCGTGCCTGTCTTGCGAGATTATCGGGCCATGTGTGCATTTGCGAAACTGCGCACAAAGCCAGCGACTGGTGTGTCCTCAGTGTTGACTGAGGCAGAGCCTGAGCTTGCTCTTCTCCCCCTCTCCCCCACCCCAGCTGCTTCACCTGAGCATCAGCGTCCACACTGGCAAAGAGGTTTAGAGCACCTACTGTGTGCTAAGTGCTATGCTAGACACACAGCTGTAGCTGTGGAGGAACACTCGGATAGAGCGATGCACCCCTCTTCTTTATTGTAAGAGGGGAGCAAGGGACCCTAGCAACAGTGGAAGGGGGTAGCTTAGGTGGTCTTTCTGCTGGGAGTGGGCGGTGGGGAGGTAAAGAGACGGTGCTACCTAAATCCACCGCAGGGGCAGTGATTCCTCGGCTTGGACATCCCTGGCAACGATTTTAATGATGATGAACGGGGAGGGGGTTGGGGGAGTCCCGTGGGCTGGGCACAGAGCACGGGCACTTTGCGTGTATATACTCATGCAATCCTCCTGTGCTCAGGCCCACCACACAGATGAGGAAGGTGAGGCACAGAGACAGTGGTGACTTAGCCCCGAGCCACCCAGCAGTTAGCTGGTGGAGGCTGGCTTCAAACCCTGTTCTCTGTGACCACGTATCTGCATGTTTACCTCTTCCCCGTGCCCCTCACTGGGCCTTTGCTCCACAACCTGTGTCCCTGTGGTGCTCCTGACCTGTGCTCCATCTCGCAGCTCAGGGCTTGCTTTGGGAGAGTCCTCTCCATGGTGACCTCCACCTCCCCAGGGCTGGGCTCTGCCCCCTGGACCCCAGGCAGCTGCCTCTCACTGGCCAGCGCTTGGTGAGGCTGCCACTGGTAGAGCTTCACGGTGTTGCCTCTGTGACTCTCAAAGGGAAGGGCTGGCGAGGACTGAGTCCTGGTCACAGCTCACTCGGAATCTCCAACAGGACAGTTGATGCCCTTTGACAAGGGAAGGGTCTCTGATCCAAGCCTAAGCATCCAGGAAAGCTGGGAGAGAAACTAGTATGCTGCCCGACCAGGGGGAGCAACTGAGTCCACCCAGCAACCACGACCACTGGGGTGACCGATGCCATGGCTGGGCAGTTTCCGGGCCCTGGTCTCCGGTGGGGCGTGGTGCAGCAGCCTGGAGCGTGCCCACTCGGGCTGCAGGCCCCGCCCCAGCTTACCTCCGTGATGCGGGGGTTCGTGCACTTGCTGTTGGGGCCCGACAGCTCCAGCCAGCGGCTCTCCTGGGCAGGGCAGTGCTGGCGCAGGGTGCACTGGCCCGGGCCCTGGCACCAGCCGCATGCGAAGTCTGGGTCGGCCTTGAGGCACAGCCCGCAGCTCTCACGCATGGCTCCGCACTTGTAGAGGTGAACTGCAGGGGGCAGAGGGCAAGGGGCGCTGTGGAGCCAGGAGGGGTGGGGGAGGGACAAGGAGCACAGTCCCAGCCTGGAGTGGTGGGACACCAGGGCAGCTCCCCACCCTTAACCATTCTGATGCGGAGAAGAACCAGAAAGGAACTCCAGGCCTGAGCAGAGGAACTGCGTGGGGCAGCCATGGACCTGTCGCTCTCAGCACTCCGCAGCCCTTCCCCCAGGTCCTACTCATGCCACCACCCCTCCCCGAAGCCACCAGCTGTGTGGAGCCCCTGCCTGAGAGGTAACTGAGAAGTATGGATGGTGGAGAGGCTGAGTGGGGGACTCAGCCACTGGGAGGTGGGGGCAGAATGCACCTGCCAGATCGCAAGGCTGTTCCCTCCCTCCCCCTCTCCCACCAGGCCCAGCCCTTGCCCACCTTTGTTCTGAGCCGGGTTGTCGATGTTGAAGTGCCCGTTCCACACAACCGTCAGCTCCACGGGCAGGTTGTTGATCTCCATGCCTTCGTAGGAATACTGCAGCCAGGCGGGTCGGGAGGTGGGAGGGAGAAGAAAGCCAGGTCACAGAGATGTCAGGGAGGAGCTCACAGGGCTAAGGACCGGCCCAGTCTGTGCACGTGTGTGCACACGAGCACGCACATGCACCTGTGGGGGGGGGGCAGCACGTAGTGGAGAGGCTGGGTGGGATCAGGCCTGCGAGCCCACGTGGGTGCCAGCTCAAGGAACAGATGGAGCAAGCCACTCGGTCACCTCCTGTGGGTCTCAGCAAGGAGGCTATAGCAGGAGGCCTGTTCCCACCCAGCGGGCTTTCCCAGGATGTTAACTGAGGGAGGAGCCCACTTCCTCCCTGATTGCCCAGGGAGCCCTGGCCACTAGGCCTGGCCAGGCGAGCAATAAGATTGGGAAATTAATTCCTGGGAAACGTCCAGGGTAGGTGGATGCTCTACAGAAGACCTAGAGAGGGGTGAGCAATCCCCAGGCAGGGGGTGGCTGCAGAGAGTGAGAAAGGAAGGAGGATGGAGGTGGGAGAGCCTGAGGGGACCCGGGAGGACAGACCTGGGGGACTGGGGCTGGATGCTGAGGGCCCAGCTGCCTGGATTCCTGCCGTGCTGCTGCCCCAGGGGGCTGCCTCCAGACCTGCATATGGTCCCCTCAAGTCCTGCTCCCCTGCCTGGCCCTCCTCGGGAGTCTGACACCCCTGGTCCTGGCTAAGAGGTGGGGTGGAGAGTGGGGAGAAGGGAGGGTGCTGTCTTGGGGGTGCTGGGTGAAGGGGCTGTCCCCGGACATGCCCACCCCCGATCTGCCTTTGGATAGCAGACCCTTCCCTGTCCTGGAGAAAGAGGGTGGGTGGAGGGAACCCAGAGCTTGTCCTGGGCAGCATTTTCAGTCCCTACTTGGTGATTTTCTCATCATTCCACCAGACTGCACCCACCATAGGGGGTGGGAACAGGGGAGGGAATTGAGATAGAGTTTCTGTAGAGGAGGGGCTGGTGATTTGTTGGAAGGGGCTAGTCCAGGGGGCTGGTTTTGAAGTTGTGTTTGCAGAGCCCAGAGGCTAACTCAGAGTTAAAGTTCGGAGGGGCTGATTTGGGGGTTGGGTATTGTTGATGGACATCCTGGCTCCCCTAAGCTGGCTGCAGCCCTTCACCGAGGGGAGGGCAGGGGGAACGTCTGCCTGGGAGCCGCTCAGGGGCCAGGTGTCCACGCCTCTGCCTCTGAGCAGGAGTAGGCCTGTGGCCTACTTTAAAGGAGATGTTATCATCCTCAACCCAGGAAATCGCCCTCAATTCCTAAATTGCACGATGTGCTCCCACGTGAACATGCTGAACAGAGGCGGGATGCGCCTCCGGGCTTCTGCAGGCTCTGCTCTGGGGTCCAGAGTTTTAATTCACTCCCGGAGACGCGCTCAGGGCAGGGAGCTGCGTTGGGGTTCTCCCACGGTGGAGTGGTTTGCCCCGCACCATCGGCGCTTGTGCACAGGCTCTCTTATGACCCATGCCACCCGGGCCCGGGGCAGGCGCTGGGCTCGCAGAGCAAAGCAAAGCTTCCTGGCCCCTCAGAATCGGCGGGGAGACTTTGAACATTGCACGACAACCCGGAGATGCAGTCTCTCTGCGTCCGGGTCAGGCTGGGTCATCCTAAGTTGTCCCGAGTTTTCTTAAGAAACCTCTTCCACTCTACACTGCTCATTCTCAGCGGTCTGTGGACCCCTTCATCAGAATCACCTAGGGGGCCCAAAAAATGCAGATTCCAGGCCCCCCAGCCTGCTGACTTGGACTCTCTAGAGATGGGGAGCCTTTGGAAAGGGCTTCCCTGTGACTCCGGTGCTGGCCAAAGTTAGAGAATCTGCTAGAAGCGGGGAGAGGGATGACTACCCCAGCGGAGGAGGAGGGTAAAAGAGGGGTGCTCTCCCGTGTGTGAGGGGGCAAGAGGGAGGGAGAGCGGGCGCACACACTTCCAATCCTCCCTTCCCATTCCCTCCTTCAGCCCTGCACTCCTTTCCCGTCCTTCCAATCGCCTTCCTCAAAGGTCCCAGTGGGGAAAGGTGGTCAGGGCAGGTTCGGGCTGGCAGCTAGAGGCAAGGCTGTTGTTCTAATCCTGACCAGGCACCATCTGATCACCTGGAGGCTGTGCTGGGACAGGCAGAGCTGCCAGTGGCTGGGTCGGGACTGGAGCCCGGCTTCTGCTCTCAGGACTGGGCCTGGCCAGCACCCAGCAGGTGGTGACTAGGGGTATGTTGGCTGAAGATCAACAGATCTTCAATCCCTCTCTCAGGAAGGACCTAAAATCCCCAGAGAAAAAGGCAAAAAATTCTGCATATGTGTGTGTGTGTGTGTGTGTGTGTCCGAGTGCATGAATGTATTTGTATGCATGCTGACTTGAGAAGACGTTAGTGCACATTTCCATGTTATCTCCATAAATGTGCACACACACACACACACACACACACACACACACACACACACACACAGTGCTACAAAATGGTTCTGCCAGTGACCAGCTATGTGAGCGTGAGCAAATGATACAAGGCTCAATTTCCTTGTTGGTAAAACAGGAATTAGAAACAGCACACACCTATTTACGGGTTACAACATAGGACTGTTATAAGGATTCAAGATCATGCATGGAATCCTCTTAGAATGGTGACTGTCTAAGCACTCAAACGTTGTGTATTTTAATCTGTGTGTATCTATTTAGGGGATGCTATGCAAAACTATATTTGCATTCCCTGTGTTTGTTTGTATGCAATAATAATAGCAGTCATGCATTCAGTGTTTATGTGCCAGACGCTGGATACACACGGGGACGCGTGCATATGAGATCGCTTATGTGTTCTGGTGTGCATGTGTGTGTACGCACGTATTTTCCTTTTGGAGGAAATTGAAAATAAAAAAAAAGATTTTAAGGATCAAATATGCTGGCCATTGCTTTCTCTTTCTTTCTCCCAATCCTGGGATCACAGCTATGAAACATTACAGAAATCATTAACCCCAGGTGCTCCCTTCCCCCAGGTCTCTGGGGAAGTCTCTCTTGTTCCTGGGGGGTGGGGGGCTTCTCTGCCTCTTCAGACAGCTGGGGAGCCTGGACCACTGGCTCCACTTAGCATTTATATAGCTCTCTGTAATCAGGGGCAGTTAATCTGCACAAAGCTCAGCGCTGAGGGGGGACAAGTCACAGGCTCCCAGGGGCCAGGAGGTTAAGTGTCTCAATCAGGGTCTGGCACACCACGGCCAGGCTAATGGACGACTTTCCCCATTACCTTGGGAAAGTGTGAGCCCCCAGCTTCTACTCCTTCTAAAGCAGAGAGGAGACCTCTGTGTGATTGAGACATTCTTTCCTCTAATCATTCCCTTGTCCTGAGCTCCGAGATATTTTGCTGGAAAACACTACCATTTGGGCAATTACATCAGCACGACAGAGCGAGCGTGACTCGGGAAGCTGGCACGTGCGCCGTGTCCGTCTCTGGGACTCCAGAGGGCTCAACAGACCCTTCCCAGCCGTGTTCCAGGGAAGTAGGGAGGGGACGAGTTCTCTTCCGTCACTCTCCCCACTGCTGTGTTGCGCGTGGTAGATTAAAGTGCCAAGAGAAAGCGAGAGCCTCTGCGGCTCTGTGGAAGCCCCCGGCCCTCAGGACCGGCGCTCTAGCCAGCCAGATGCCCTTTGCGGCCCACTCGCTCTTGTGACTCCGCACCTGAGAGGTGGCGGCGGCCACTATTATTAGCAGCACTTGACATTTTCCCGGAGCCTTGGTCTAAAGTAGGCCATGGGTGCCCACAGTCGCTCCCCCTCAGCCGCTGCCTGTGGGCCGCCCTGCCCTCCTCCCACGGCCCCCAGAGGGGGAGTGGGAGTCCCCCCACGGTGGGGCTGGGAGGCCCTCCACCGCCCACGCAGCCCAGCGCCTCACCCACGCTCAGCTTCCTGCGCCTCCCCTCTGTCTCTGCTGTCCTCTGAGGCCTCCTTGTCACCCTCCTTCTGCCGTCACAAACCCAGCGGTTTCTCTGTTAGGGCCCCCACCCCCACCGTTCCAAGTTGCTCATGCATTTAGGACGGGAGTCAGTCTCCTCCACTGCACAGCCCTCTCTGGGGCTCAGCAGACCTTGCTCCCACTGACGATGCCAGCGCTGGGTAAGTTCTCTGCTGCTGTTGGTCGCCCATCTGTGATTAGGGGCGGGTTGTGAGACTGGCTTTTGTTTCAAATTTGTACCTTACTTGCTGTGTGACCTGGGGATGGCCACTTGCCCTCTCTGGGCCTTGGAGACCCCATCTGTAACAGGATCAAGTAGATATTTTCCCAGGTCTATTCCTGCCTGATGCCATCTTGTTTCCTACAACTATGGTGAGGGGAGGCTTGCCCTGATAATGCCCAGAGATTTTTTAAGGAAGTCACCTAGTGACAAGCCACATCCTGGCCCAGAGCTGTGTTTAAATTGGGACCCCACGACCCCCCCCCCGTGAAAGAGGAGGCTTCTGGGAAAAGTCGGAGCCAAGCCCTCCTGAACCATCTGATTCCAGTGGGTCCTGGGAGGTGGGGGGGGGGGCTCCTCCCGGAGTCTAGCCCTGTCCTTGGTGGTGGGGCCTCAGGCCAGAAGCAGAACTGACCACTGCGCCCTGGGGCCTCAGGCTTCCACATGTGAAGTCCCCACGGGGGGAGCTGCGTGACCTGCTGATTTCTCGAATCCCAAGAACGCAGCATCAGACAAACAGATGGCCATGCTGGAGCTCGAGGTCTCCTTCTTCCCACAAGTGTCAACCGGGGTGCCAGCACCAGGCACCCTGTGGGGACACCATGGAGGATCAGAAGGCTCTCACCGGCCTGGGACCGCTGAGACCCTGTCTGTGCCCTTGTTCCCAGGGGGCTCTGTTTCGCTCCCACACTCGGGGAGCTCCCTGAGACCAAGGACTTGCTCAGGCAGCTCTCGGCCTAGGAAATGCTGAGGACATTTCGACTCAATCTGCTTCCAATTCTGGCAGTAATTAAAAGGGCCCGGGGTCCCAAGGAGCTTCCTGGAAGCTGGAGTGAGTCCCCGGGGGCACGGAGGGAGCTCTGACCAAGGGGTTTACAGGACCAAATGACGCCGTTACCCTGGGCACCTTCGTCTACTTCACTGGGGCGGCCTGAGTCTTGGGATATCTGCATCCGCCTCTCGGGGAACTGAGGGCACGGCCATCGTCCGAGGCCGCGGGCTCTGTCCTCCCTCCCGCTGCCTCCTGGATCCCGGAGCCGCTTCTCCAAGGAAACAAAGCCATTTTCCCCGTGGTTGAGACCCTGGCAGCCTTCCGCAGATCAAATGTGGGGCCCAAATGGGGGTCTCTCTCCAGAAGGAGTTGGTTTTAGGGAGAATTATTAATACTTGAGTCAAACCTTTGGGGCTGGTCTGCTTGGCCTCAGGATTTACGAGCAAATTGGAGGTGTCTAACGTCCCTTTGCTTGCAGGTTTAATCTGGAGTGCTGCAGAAATCTGAAACAGCCTGGCTGCCAGGGGAGGAGGCGGACGTGCACTTGGGAAGCTGTGGGGACACATCTGGGCTTTCGGAGGTGGTGAGATCAGTGACCAGTTCAGTGCCTGGAATGCTGAGTGACCTTGGGCAAGTGATTGGGCCTCTCTGAGCTCCATTTATGCTCTAGACTGCTTCCTGCAGGAAGAGTGGGCTGTCCCCATGAAGTCCTTTGTCTGGGACTCTCCTGGTCCCATGTCACAATCCCAAATACAGACACTGTATATAAGTTCCCGGTAGTAAGGAGGATGAACAGGAAGCAGTGTGATACCTGAAGGGACTCTAAGTCCAGGCCAACTCTGCCACTCACTAACCATGTAACCTTGGGCAAGTTTCCTCACCTTCTAATGCATTTGGGGCTCGTCTCCCCAAAGTGAATAATGCTCCAGCTTCAGGGCTGCACTTGCTTCTATGGCCCCTTCTAAGGCCTGCCTGAGCATCTAATCCTGTACCTAGCATATTTCAGTCTTAAAGAAGGTCCCCAACCGTGCAAGTCCAGCCCCACACACCTAGATCTGCCCCTGGTTCTGGGCCTCTGTTTTCTCTTTTGTACAACGAAGATCTTTAAAGTTTCTTAAATCTTGAAAATATTATGAGTCCATAAGTCTAATATTTGTCTCTGAGCCTCTGGGTACAAAGAAAGGAGCCCAGATGGAGAATGAGATACCAGAGCGGTGGTGGCAAAGGCGACAAGGCCAGAGAGGAGGAGGAGGCAGGAAAGGTGATGGTAGGTAGGGCTCCTCATGGGGGACAGCTGTCGGCAGCCTGGGGGCAGTGCTGGGGCTGAACGTGGATTTCTGAACTCGGCGGGTTGTGCCGATGTGGGCAGCATGCTCCTGGCCGGCCCCTCCCATTTGACAGTCTCTCTGGTGGGTGCTCAGCCTGTTTAGCTGGGAAGCAGCCTCCATGTAGGGGTGCAGGCAGTGGGGGCTTTGTGGGCCCACATGGGGTACTCAGGTCAGACCTGGCGGGAAGGCAAGACCTAGGGCTTCCAGAGCTTCTCTCAGGAAAGAGGATGGACATGAATGTTCCTGGTGCCCAGCATCTGCCCACAAACAGGGGTTGGCAGCCCTCCGGCTGGTCCAGGAGTCCCTTTTGCCCTGCCTTGGGCAGAGGACCCTCGTCCACCATGGCTACAAGTGGGCCAGACACTTGGTGGCTCAGACCACAGCGTGCTACTGGGACAGGTGCTAAGGGGCGTGGTGGCACCAGCAGAGTTGGGGGAAGGCCCTGTGAGCGGAGCTGATGGGCTGCCAGGAGAGGGCAGTGGGGGGTGGGACGGCAGTGGGGGGTGGGGCGGCAGTGGGGGGTGGGGTGGCGACTCACAGAGGTGTTCTGGCACTGCACGCTGGAGCTGTTGAAGCGCAGGGCCGGCACCCTCTCCTCGCTGCCCTGGATGTTCAGGACGCACTCGTAGCCGCGCTGCCCGGACTGGGGCTGGGGGAGGTTCTTGGCCTTCAGAGTGATGGGCTTGATCACCTCCACGGGCACCAGGATCTTGTCCACTCGCAGCAGCTGGGGGCAGTCCTGGGGACAGAGGGCAGGCTCAGGTTGGTTAGCCTGGAAGCCAAAGGGCAAGAAGGTTCCTGCAGACACACCCCGGATGTTCCCCAGCGCCACTCTCCTTCAGACACACCACAGGAGGCCCCAGGCTCTCACGCCTGCCCCATAGCCCCACCCTGGGTGGGAAGGAATGGGACTGAGAAATCCCAGGCCTTGGCGTCCCGTCTTGAGGCCACTCCTCACAGGGCCATCCCTGCCCTCTTCAACTTCCGTTTTCATGCCTTCCCTGCTCACGCCAGGGCCTGACACTCCTGGTCTCCTCTGGCTCTCTGCTACCCAGCAGAGACTGACCCGGTGTCCTGTCCCACTGTGGGCTGATGGCTGCTCTGCCTGCCAAGTTCCAGGCTGCCAAGGGTTGGGACAGAGAGGCCTCCAAGAAGCTCCGTGGTGAGGGCCTCGCTCTGCCTCAGGAATGCGAATCTGGACCACGGCGGGGTTGGGGAGAGGGGGTAAGGGGGGCTTCCATATTCGGGCTGAGTCTGGCATTTGGGAATGCTCTGGAATGGGTCCCAGAGACAGTTTAAATCCTGAAGCTTCTGGCTGAGCTCTGGGGATGTTCTGACCCAAAGAAATGTCTCTCACATCAGACACACGCTGAGCTCCTCTGGACGCTAGCAATGTCATGCTTAGTCCTGGAGCCTCAGGGCCCAGACGGCCTTTCTCCAGAGGCTGTCAGCTCTGTCTGGGAGGGCTGGGGGGAATGGGGCCAGAGGAAAGAGGGTGGGTGCTCTGCCAGCGACTGGCAGGGGCTGCTCTCCCCCTGCCCCAGCTCTCGTCCCCAGCAGAGTAAGCCAGGCGGACATGGCCGATGGGAGGAGGCCCAGGCAACCAGGCCACTGTCCCTGCCCAGTCCCAAAGCAAATATGAGTGGAATAGCTCCCTCCGTCATGGAAAGCTGCGCCATCACAAGGCTGAGGCCTGGAGGGAGGAGACTCGAGCTAGCTCTAGAGCCGGCTGAGCTCCTGATGAGCTACGGAACTCTGAGCACATCGCCTCCCGCTCTGGGACTCAGCTTCCTTATCTAGCGACTGGGTGGACTCCAAGGCCCCGTCCATCTTCGTCAGGCATGATTCCATGATTTGGGGTGGTCGTCTCCTCTGGTCACCCAACGGGAGCAGAGGAGGGACAGTGACGCAGGGGGGATGGAAGCGGGAAAGGGAGAGCGGGACAGAGGAGGCTATAGGGGAATCGAGGAGAAAGAGAGGGAGCCAGAGGAGTGGTCTGCAGATGGGCCAGCGGTGGGACCCGGGCCCATCAGAGCAGTCCCTCCCCCTGCCCTGCTGCAGGTGCTCAAACCTTTGTCCCGGAGGTCAGCTAGAAGGGGACAGCCACCCAGCAATTCCACTCCCCGGTATACGCCCAAAAGAACTAGGGCAGAGACTAAGGCAGATGCCGGTACACCCACGTTCACAGCAGCACTGACCACAGTAGCCAAAAGCCGGAGACACCCAAGTGTCCAGGGATCCGTCAATGGATAAACAAAATGCAGTCTCCGCACGCGGTGGAGTATCACCCAGCTCTAGTCTCCGCACGCGGTGGAGTATCACCCAGCTCTAGTCTCCGCACACGGTGGAGTATCACCCAGCTCTAGTCTCTGCACGCGGTGGAATATTACCCAGCTCTAAAAAGGAAGGAAGCTCTGATCCTCACTACAACGTGTATGAACCTGGGACCATGCTAAGAGAAAGGAGCCAGTCGCAAAGAGAGAAACACAGTGGGACTCCACTCTCAGGAGGTCCCTAGGGTAGCCACGTTCAGAGATAGGAAGCAGAGTGGTGCTGTCTGAGGGGAGGGTGCATGGGAGGTGTTTGAGGGGCACAGAGTTCTGGTTCGCCATAATTCAACAAACACCGAGGAGCAGCAGGGAGGCAGGAGGAGAGAGGGGCCCGGCCTTGACCACGCACGTGGCCCTGAGGCTCTCAGGTGTGTGGGTCTCTGGGGACTGTAGATGCCACACGGGGAGAGTCTCAGCAGCACCACCTGTGCCCCAGCCCCAGCTGCGCCCTCACGGCCCGGCTGCACCATCACGGCCCCACTGCGGCAAGATGGGGATGTGGGACCCTCAGATGAGAGAGTGACTTTGGGAAAGGGCTGAAGCTGGGAGTTGGAGTGGAGGAGAGCAGATCCTGGAAGAGCCCTGACTCCACCCTCCCTGTGCCTGAGCCCAGGTGGCTTTCCCTCCCCAGAAGCAGGGACAAGCCCGCCCTGCCCTCCGGACACATCCCAGAAGGGAACCAGGTCTGTGCTCAACTGGGCCTGAGAGCCAGGAAGCACTGGCGCCTTTCGCCTCCTCCTCCCTCATCAACGCGCTGCTGCCAACCGATAGTGCGCCGAGGGTGCCAGGGATCCCAGGGTCCTCTGACCAACCTAAGGGACCCCATCTACTTTGCAAAGGAGAAACTGAGACAGGGAGAGAAAAAGCAATGACTCAGTACCAGCAGATGAGCTGAAGAACTCAGGTGCCAGCTACCTGGGTGGCCAAGCTTCCTGCCTGAATGGGAGGGGCGAGCTCCCAGGTGGGCAGGACAGCTCTGGACTGGTTGGTGGGTCCATGAGGGTCACCTGAGTCCAGCAGGACGTGGGAGCTGGGCTGGGACCCTGCCTGGGGGCCGGACTGCTCTGTCCAGGACATGGGCAGAAGCAAAAGCCTCTCTGTCCCCTGCACCATCCTCACTGAGGCTGTGCTGAGCTCTCTAATGAGTCCTGATTACCGGTGGCCCCATAAAGGCCTAGTTTGCATATAAAAAGGTTGGCAGCACTGAGAGTAAGTTCATTAATAATAATTGGAGAGGCCCAGGGCTGGGCTGGGCACATTTTCCTCTAGTGGCTGTTGACTGACCCCAGAGTCTCTCCTAATTGAAATGTAAAATGGCAATTTTCCCCCAGGCAACAAGGCATGGAGAGATCATGCCACCACCCTGCCCCTTCCTGGCTCCAGCAGGCCTGGATTCCGACCTGCCCCTTGCTGAGATTCCAGACGCAAAATCGCCTACGGATCAGACACAGGTGGGACACCTCAGAGACACTCCCACGTGCCTTCCCGCCTGGAGCCTGAGTCCTGTCCACAGTCCCACTCACCCGACCTCTGTGTGGGCCAGAGAGCCCGGCTGGGGCGCCGCATGATGGAGGGCAAGTCTGGCGTCCTGCTCAATTCAGTCTTGAAACGTGCTCGTACCATTGCTCGCCTTAACTATGCACGGGAATTAAAATTTCCTCCGATCTTTCCCCCAGCCCAGACTATGTCGCCCCTATCTGTCCCTTTTCCCACCCCATTTCCAAGGACCCATCTCTCTCAGTCCTGTCCTGCACTCCTCCGTAAACACCCAGCATTTCTGATTTCCCGTCATCCAGCCTCTTCCACGTCCTGCGTCGAGCCTGCCTAACTGCAACAGCTCCACGTGCCCCAGATGCAGGGGGCACGGAAGGGAAGAGAGGTCCCCGCTCCGGCCACTGCTCCCATAAAGGCTGCCTCCTCTTCTGGGAGGTGACATCTGCCAATGGGAAAGGACCCAAACTCTGTAAAATAATTTAAAGAAGTTTATTCCAAGTCTGAGGACCATGGGCCGGAGCCACGCCCAAGGAGCCTTGAGCAAGTGGACTCACCGTGGCTGGGTTACAGTTTGGTTTTACACATTTTAGGGAGACAGGAATTACATGTCAAGTCATAGATCAATACGTGGAAAGAGTACATTGGTTTGGCCCCAAAAGGCGGGACATCTCAAAAGTGGGCATTACAGGTCATAGGTGGGTTTAAAGATTCTTTGATGTGTAAGTGGTTACAGAAACGAAGCTTTGTCTAAAGGCTTGGAATGTTTTAAGTTAAGATAAGGAAGTCTGCTAGTCAAAGACAGCGCTGGACGTATACCCAGGCTCAAGTGATCTGTCAAGTAAACTGCAGTGTGGTTCAAGCCCTCCCCTGTGTAGCCCTCGGCCTGTTCATGAGTTACAAGAGATATCTCCAAGATGGAAAGAGGGCACGATGAGGCATGTCTGACCTCCCTTCTCATGGCCAGCATCTCAGCTTTAGGGTATTTCTGAGATCCCCTTGGCCAAGAGGGCATCCATTCAGTCAGCTGAGGGGCTTAATATTTTATTTTAGTTCACAGGTCCTGAAGTTGTGTGCCCATCCCTAAACTGTAAGCTCAGAGACAGACCCACCAGCCAGCCACATGGACTTGAGCAAGGACCTTTGAACCCTCTGGGTCTCTGCACCCATAAAATGATGCAGCTGGTTTAGACTACATGACTTTTATGGTCCCTGGGATAGTGTGACTTAAGAAATATACATTTGGTCTTTGTTCCTGGCTGCTGTCACAATGCTTCTAAAACCCATGGAATTTTCTGAGTGATTGAGGTGAGAGGAGCATCTTTTGTCACTCATAATAAGCCCATTCCAACCACACCAGAGCTGATGCTGATGAGGTGACTCTTTGAGGAGGAGGGCATGTTCCTGGCACTTCACACCCCTCCTCTGGGGAAGGGAGAGGGGCTGGAGATTGAATTCAGTCACTGAGGGCCAATGAGTTAATCACTCAAAGGAACCTCCATAAAAACCCTAAATGAAGGGGGTCGAGAGCTCCCAGGTTGGTGTCCTGCCTGGACAGGGCATGGGAGCTCCATTCCCCTTCCCCAAACCTTGCCCCGTGCACCCCTTTCTCTTGCCGTTCGTCTTCCTCCTTTGTATTAAATAATAAAAGTAAATATGAGTAAATTTATAGCCGGTTGGTCAGAAGCACAAGTGACAACCCCAGAGTTGAGATTAGTGTCTGAAGTGGGGGCGGCCTGGGGGGACTGAGCCCTTTAACTTGTAGGATCCGATGCTATCTCCACGGAGAGAAAGCGACAGGATTGAATTGCACTGTCAGCTACCCAGGAGGTGTCTGCAAAGGGCTGGAAATCGCTCCATGTGGAAAAAGCCCACACACATGGTGTTGTGAGTGTAAAGTATAGAGAAGAACAGTTCG